CCTTGATTACACCAATACCATGCAATTGGTCATGTAATTTCCCCAAGAACAACCCATCCATATGTACATATATACCTTGGACCACGCAACCAACCACGCTTGCGTACCACGCAGCCACACAACCACGCAGCCACGTAGCCACACCACGCAGGCTGACCATGCACAGCCATGCTGACTAACCACACAACCACGCAGGCACCATGCAGGCTTCGCATAGAGACCATGCCAGCCCATATAAGGTTACCCTCAGAAAGTGCATCCTTCGTATAATTGCTTCTTAATTGGCTCGTTTCTTTGGTGTCATTCACATCAAATATAGAAATCCGTATTCCATCTAAGTTCTCATGGTGTCCTCTTCACTGCGAACCCCACATTGTGTACCTTATTACTTATAGCTTAGCAGACCACCTCTAAGGCCTTTTTATACTGTTAGGATACTCGTAAAATTATTTACTTCAGCTACAATACTTTTGATGTTCTTAAACTTCGCAATCCAGTTCTAAATTTTCAGGATATTGACCATATTTTGAAGCGTTTCGATATCCCACCAAAGCTGTCATGTTTAAATCTTACAGGTATTGACAATCCAGCTGATTCTACGCAAGGATTGACAGAAAAGAACGGAACGCGTCGACTCTCGAGTCGCGTTTGATGGACTTGATCAACTTTTGATGGGAGTCCCGCAATTTGTCAACCACGCTGACGACCACGCAGCCACGCAGCCACGCAGGCTACCATGCAGGATTCTTCTTGCCCCATTGATACCTATTACCAACCATAGATTATGGTGTCTCAAGTCTCGACAAAGTAAGCGGCAACCCCACATCATGTACCTTATTACTTATGACTTAGAAAGCACCCTTTGCGGCCTTTTCGTGTTTTTGGGATACTCAGGAAATTGTTTTCTTCTGCGGCAATGCTTTCGACGCTCTTCAATTGTGGCAATCCCTTTCAAATGATACTTTTATGATACAGATATCCTTCGAAGTATTTGGATAGTGACACACTTAAGCAGTCATTTTTAAACCTTACATATACTCTCAGTCAAGACGGTTCCATGAAGGCTGCGACAGAAGAGAAGGAAACGCGTTGAGTCACGTTTGATGGACTTTTGATCAACTTTTGATTGTCCCTGTGATTTGTCAACCACGCTGACGACCACGCAGCCACGCTCCACGCGACCACGCAGCCACGCAGGCTACCACGCAGATTTCTTCTTGCCCCTAGGCACTAGGTCTGATACATGGGATGAAGGTATCTAACGACAATTTCGTAAGAGTAAGATAAACAATAAATAAGCAGGCTCCATCACCTTGCAGATATTGGCCTTCCCAGAAGTCAGACTAGCGCTTGTCACCAAGAGCTGGCATCTAGTTATTGACAACCGTGGTCTTGAGGCCCTGCATCGCGGACGTCAGCACATAATTACACCCCGACCAAAACAAAAGGAAAGAGAATCAATGGAAAAATCGTTTCATCAGGGTACACAAGTCAACCTCTGAAAAAATGTACCATGGATAAAGAATCTAACATCATGCGAAGAAAAAAAGAAAACGTTGCACTTACCTGAAAAAGAAGCTACCAGACTGGCTGCGAAGGACTTGGAACTGCGAGTGAACAAAAATATAAGCCCAGAGTGATCCCTGATGTTGTTGGGAATAGGCGTAGTATAGACAATGTACAAGCTAAGTACAACTCGAATATAGTCTATGATATGAAGAGTAGCGAAGAGGGTTGTAAGTTCAATCACCTACGAAGGAGCCCGAGTAGGTCTAGCAAGCGCTAGGCGCAGTCGAACTCAATCGCTCAAGGTTCACCCGAAGTAGTGGAGTTTAGCGAAGTAGATTTCAGATGCCCTCTGGGGCATTGTCGTACGGGTTAAGTACTAATGCATTATTCTAGAACTTACTAGAGGATATTCAGAGAAGAAAAGAAGAGAAATTTCCTACACTACGTCGAAATGAAAAGAAAGGTGAGGAAGGTGAAGAATAAATATGGAGATTAGTAAGTATCCATAACAGATGTCAATACGCTCTCTATAACGATTAGTGACCTAAGAACAACCTCGTTAGCGAAATCCGAAAATACTGAAATCAGGCGGGGTAATAATCTCAGGAAGATATGTTGCGGACAGAACAAATTTTTGCGCATCCAGCCCAACGGGGCCGTCAAATGCAAGGGGAATGTGCGGTTCATCAGATGGGGATGTGTGGAGGGGAGGATTCACGTCGTAGCAGGAAGGAAGCCTCGAGAGGCGAGTCCCGTCCAATGTGGCTTTCGAAGGGAGGGCATATAACACACCTCAGCCGAGCATTCCCAGCGACGGTGAAACTTGACGGAGAAGACAAAGCATGTCTGAGTGGAGAGCAACCTGGCGCATGTACGTCGTCTAGCATGCGCCTAAGCCAGAGTCAACCAACTGTTGTCTTACAAAGGAGAGTACAGGGCGCACCTGGGTAACATTTCACAGCCTAGCATTCCCCGTAGACGGGGAGCTGTTAATGCGACACACAATAGAGAGAGACGGCATAAGCCCGACCTGGTTTGAGTTGTGAGTCAATTAGCTGGTGCGTGTCTTCAAACGTGGTAGTAACGGACGTCATCATCGTTATGGTCATGCGCGTCGGACGGTTGCTCATCCACGGAGTGTAGCATGTGCAAGCTATGGGCAAGGGGCATACAGTGTGCTAAGAGAACAAGGCTCGATGAGGGCGGCACTTTCTGGGATAGTGATTGCAGGCACTGACCGTACGTTCACTGGCTCTTATGCGTATCCATCCTAGAGGCGTTCCGAGTCAAAGGACATCTTGGCTGTACCTGAACATCAGATTATTTTCGCATAGAAGGACTATGTCCCGCATACCAACAGAGTTAAAGTCAAAGCCAAATACCCAGCATGCCAGGAACACAGGTCAATATCGTGTTCGAGCTAACTAGTGCGGATATGCATTCGAGGGACATCGGTGGAAAGAAAGGGAGAAGGCACAAAAGCAATCAAACAAGAGCAATCAAGAGATGCGTGACTAGCGTGTCGTTGAAAGAATTTCGGCTTTCGGACCGTATCTTCCGTCAGGCAAATCCACTTGCTTAGACCTTTACATCGACCTAGACTGTATGTAATGCTTCCTTGTACCATTACAGCGCACAGTTTATCAACGTAGAACAGATTCAGCCGAGGTTCTCGGCATTTCAAAAGACGAATCCTGTGTTAGGACTCATGTTCTCCAGGGCGAGAAAAGAAGTGAGATAGAATCATAAGTGAGTGGTCTTCCCTACAAATCCCTTTGTGCTTCGGAAATGTTTTGATTGCTCGCCAGGTATCAAGCCAAGTTTGGCGAGCAGAGGTGTTCTCAATTTTATCGGAGAAAGAAAACAAGGCGAGAAAGTGAGTGACTGGCCTACTCTGCCGATATCTCTGTGTTTTGGAATTATCTTCATTGATCATGAATTCAGCCATGTAACAAGGCTCTGGGTTAGGCGTATAGTTTGGCGAGCGGGGGTGTTATCGGTTTGACTGGGCACAGGGAAGAAGAGGACAATGTTATGGGTTCGGTAGACAGCAGCGTGCTCGGTTTCTCCAGCGACATTGAGTAAAAACGAGGTATCATTTACTAAGACTCATATACCGCGATGAACGGAGGTGTTCTCAGCCTTCCGTACCAGACCGGGAGGACTAAGTGGCTGACGTACTTGCGCTTGAAGATGAAAACGTGCGATGTATGATTGATTACCTTCCAGAGGTGCGTTCTTCCATCATCTGAGTCATAAACCTGTTCGTCCCTTCACGTTAACCAAAAGGAGCTACCCATCCCCCCAGTACGCACTTTCACTGATGCAGATACGAAAAGGCCGTTGCTCCATCAACTAACGTTCCGTTTCATAAATAGGCCTCCGGCTCGACCCTCCTGACAGCCCAATTCTCTCTCTCCTTCATGACTACCTACACCTCACTCGAAGAAATCAAACAGTCCTCAATATCTTAGTGCAGGCTGAGATGCTCCTTAGCACAGATCGAATGATTCATAACAGCAATTCTCTATAAATCTACAGTATATAAAACACTGCATCAGCATCGGACTTCAATAGTCCGTCGCGGCAGGGTGAAGCGCATGCAATAGAGGGTGAATAACACAGCATATGTCATCGTATCGGATAAAGAACAACACCCAATCGCTCGTATATCAATACAGTAGGCACCGCCACTGCATTGGCTAACATTAATGATACAGCTTCCTGATAGTGTGCTGTTATTCGCAGACATGACGTCAGAGTCAGTGGTACCCTTCTTTCCTCAGTTCCTGCGAATAAAGAATGCACAAATGCTGAAGACTACAGGCACGACAGATTCTGATAATAGGACTCTTAAACCAGGAGTATATCAAACGTGCTTACTGTTGGGACACGTACTCTGCTACTGAACTGAACCGAACGATGTGTCTTCGCCACCTTGCTGCGATCAAGCCACATTTCTTAAATAGTGACTGTGAGAATTTATCCAAGTGCATGCTGTTTGGGCCCTTAACCTCTCTTTCCTTCCTTCACCCACCAGCTTACTAGTGATGCCCAGAAACAAGGGAAAAAGGAATCGTCAAGGCTCCAGGAAAGTCGCAGTCTCAATCCAGATTGCAGAAATTATCACATCGGTGGGCCAGATGGTACCAGTCGCTGGTCCCTTCATAAAGGGCATCGCTGAGACAGCGAAGTTGCTCTTGGATGATATGGAGGTCAGCACCATTTGATATATCTCGCTTCCTTGGATGTTTTCCCGAGACTGTCCTGACAGAAATTCAAAACCAACTCAGAGGATATGGAACACCTTGCAGACGACATCTTAGACATCGTAAGAATCATCCGAGATGCTGGAATGCAGGTATCTGCGATGCCTGAAGGAGTGAGATATGCTGTAGATCTACGAGCAGCTTGCCTAGACTTCCAGGAGTGATTATATTTCCTTCACGGTTCAGTATACGTTCCTGAATCCTAATATAGGTTTCTAATCGATATCTCGACGCAACTGAACGAAATGAGGCGTAACAAAGGTGGTGTTCAGCGGAAAATATTAGATTTTTTCGCTTCTCGAGACATCAGAGAAGATATCAGTTGCCACCGAAGGGTGGTAGATAATGCCAGGGCGAACTTTCAAGTTGAGCCTTCTCTCTTTCGCTCACGAATTATTAACTGATTGACCTGTGCGAAAGACTCAATTATTATTGAACCTTTTTCAAGTAGCGGTGAATTCTGACACTACCATATCCCGCATGAATGAGCAAATATCAGTGCTCCAGTCAACTGTTCGAACTTCAATCGTAACCGCTCCCCCAATATCGACCACGACTCCCATCGTTGATCCCGTTAACCATGGAAATGAAACACAGTTGATGAGGCACTACTACAGGATGCCTGGAGGTATCGACTTAGTGGAGGGTTTGCAAGACATAAATGTCAGGGCGCATTCTGCATCAGTAGTCCAGCTCATAAACTGGTTCTGTCGGCTTCACCACCACTTTCTATTCCTTTGGTGGTATTTTCATTTCCGGTGGGCCTTTTCTCCTAATTTTGAAATCTCTCTCGCATCGGTGAGTTGTTATCAGATTACGCTGTTTTCACGTCTGAGCTGCAAAGCAGTCATCACACCGTGGCCTTCGAATTTGGGCTGTCCTCATCGGCATCGATGCCTATCCAGGCGCTCCGCTCCGTGGTTGTGTCACGGACGCACTCGCAATGGAAACATATCTGATCAAGAATCTCGGCGTGCCGAAAGGACAGATCCAACGGCTTATTAGCTCCAAATACCCATCGTCTAGTGGCTCCTCCATTGGTATAACTCACCATTATTCCTATCCTACGCGTGCAAATATCATAGATACCCTCCTTGGACTCTCGAAAAACCGAAGATTAAGGAAGGCGACAGTATCATCATTTTATTCGCGGGACGCGGTTCGATGTACGAATTTTCACCCACAATGGTTGGAAACCATTCCTCAGATTCCACTTCCAAGTCCACATCAGAAAATAGATGGCATCACCGCCTCTATAAAGCTGATGATTTTGTAGAAGTGTTCTGTCCCATTGATCGTGGTATCATTGGGGATAAAGGCGCCAGCATTCCCAACATCAGTGAACGAGAGATAAATAACATTCTCCATATCATTCATCTCTACACAGGCGCTCACGTAACCTTCATCGTGGACTGCAAATATGATTTTGGTGTTCCAGATATAGGTAATCGCACCGCCATTCCGCTGGGGGATTCTGGTGTCAGAATGTTCAACTCCGCGAAAGAGCGTATAGGAGACTGGTATGGATATCGCGATGTGTGGGCGGACACATGGAACTATGACATAGACTCTCACACCATTTTAGGCGCGGGTGGGCGCCGTGAAGTTGCCACAGAGTGCCAATACCCGAATCGCTTTGGCGGGGCCTTCACTCAGGCACTTGTGAAGATGCTAAAATCAGGCTCCTTGAACGAGGAAGCAACATATGTCGACCTTAGCAATGCGCTACCAAGGCTGTACCCAACGTTAGGAGGGGCTGGAATATCGAAACGTCTTTCATGGATTTAGCCATTTCCTTATAGCTATTCATTCCGGTGGCCCTAAAGATCAGATCCATGGAAGAGAGGTTAAACTTCGGATATATTTCCTTTTACAACACGATTTCGGCTACTTTGGGATACATGGCCATTTAGCATCTACTATTTCAGTAGAAGCCTGTACTTAACGTACAGGCTAATACATGATCCTCTCTATCAATCTATCTCGTAAACAGCCTAGCAGTGCTCTAGTCTCTTAAAATCCTACGTCTCCGGGAAATCGCGCTACTTCCGATAGCACAAGGAACATCACTCCTGCTCCTTCTTCACACTGTCCAGTCATCCGAGTCTTCCAACACCAAAGCCGAATGGCACCAGCTCTCCTCGTCGTCTTCCCAGAAATCGCACCTCTTCAATGCGAATTCTTCCTATTGTTCTTCTAGATTGTGTCCTGAACGGTCTGCTTACGCCAGCCCAGTCCTCTACCTGATTAGTTCACATCCCGGTTGGATGTATAAACGTATTCGTCATCTATCGCCAGTCACCCGATGTTAGATACAATGTTTCCACTTTGGATTCGCCGTCAAGTCGCATGAGGAAGTGAGGGTTTATCCGGGTACATACATACCGTGAAGTGCATTGGTTGATAGATATCCGTACCATCTCCCAAACAAAAGCAGAAGCCTGTCTTTCGTTCTTGTCAAAGCGAAACCACTTTAGTTTTAACGCGAAGATGAAGAAAGACAAAGAGATAGGTTACCCAACTGAAGCCAGCACGAGAAGAGGAAGACGAGCGCAGAACAATTAATGACGCGGTAGTGCGAAGTATTCATTCCTTCAAGGGTAATTCATGAAAGAGAACATCGTAACGATTACAGGAATAATTCACTGATCGGCTACCAAGCGATGCAGAACTCGTTCGATACTAAGGATATGCATCAAGTCTGATACACGGGATGAAGGTATCTAACGCCGACTTCGTAAGAGTAAGATAGATGATAGCTCCATCACCTTGCAGATATCAGCCTTCCCCGAGGTCGGACTAGCGCTTGTCACCAAGAACTGGCATCTAGTCATCGACAATCGTGGTCTTAAGGCCCTGCACCGCAGACGTTAGCACAGAATTACACCCCAAACGAGACGCAAAAAAGGAATCAGAAATCTTGGAAAAATAATCTCATCGGATAAGTATGTTTCTAAACAAAACGTAGTGCATATAAAATATATAATATCATGCGAGGCAGAATAGGAAAATGAAGCGTACCTCAAAAAGAAGTGATCCAGAAGCTGTGGGATCATAAGCCAAATAAAGAAAGCCCATCGTTACGGTCTTGGGGCCAACGTCAGCACAAAGTTACACCCCAACACTAGCGAAAAAAAAAAAGAATCAGTGGAAAACTCATTTCATCGGAGCCTCTGAAAAGGTGCACCTTACATACAAAGAGCGTACAGCATCATGAAAAGAAAGTGTTAACAATGCGTACCTCGAAAAAAAAAAGAAGTGATGACGTCAGATCTGGAAGCTACAGTCAATTCCAGAATTCTCTGGTTTCTCTATAACAATCAGAAACCTAAAAACGACCTCGTCAGCCAACCGTGAAAACATCCCAAACAAGCCGGGGTAATCTGAGTCAGGAAGAGAAATTACGGACGTAACAAAGCTTCGCGCATCTAGCCTAACGGGGCTGTTCAATGCAAGGGGAATGTGCGGTTTATCAGAGGATAATGTATGGAGGAAGGGAACTCACGGTGCGGTGGTATAGAGCGAAAAAGGAACAATGTGAAAGGTCCATGCCGGGTAAGAGTGGTATGTCGTAAAACTCTCAGACACAAGTAATGCGCTTCGAAAGGCGGAAATCCATGAGTCTGAACACGCCCTAGCTAACTCAATGCTGAGTTCGCTGACTGAAGCATTCGAAAAGAGCGTGTACAGCGCACCTGTAGCATTTCACGGCACACCGATGCATCGGCATCCTTGTAGGTGGAAGAGACGCGACATACGACGGAGAAGATCTGATGTGGTTTATGGCTTGACCATCTGGTGCATGTCTTCAAGTGCGGTAGTCATATACGTCATCCTGCGCGCTGGTCCTCCCGACACATTTCCCATTCATAAGACAAGGTATGCGACTGCAGAGAAAACAAGGTCAGATTAGGGCAACGTTTTCAGAGATGATAATTACGAACACTCACAGTATAAAGTGACGTTTCACGCTCCCTAGCTCCTATGCATATCCATCCCAGAGGAGCTTGGAGTCAACGCACATTCCGGATGTACACGATATTTCGTCGAGGAAGAACAACGTCGCGTGTACCAGTCGAGTTCAAGTCAAGGACATGTACCCAGCACATTACACGTACTAGTGTCGCATTCGAGTGGGCTGTTGGAGGTATGCATTCGAGGAACGTCGTAGCAGAGAAGAAGGAATGGCGTGGAAATATTCAAATACGAGCAAATCAAACGAAGCACGTGACCAACGCGTTTAATCCACCAATTGGGATTCCGGACCGGGTGAGATGGTAACTTCCTTGCAGGCTCTCACCTTACTTATCTTCCATCAAAAAAATTAACAAGGCACGTAAATATACCGGTTCAGACTTTCTATATCGACCTAGGCCATATTTAATGCACCCGCTGGGCACCGTAGACCACACTGGGCCGGGATTCTGGGTGTTTCATGATGAGGATGGGTCCGATGTTAAGTTCTCCAGGCTGGAAAAGTGAGTGATCTTCCCACCGACATCTTCGTGTTTCGTTTTGATTGGTCGTCAATATCAGTCCAGCCAGTTCTCGCTAGCATATACCTCGGTGAACGGAGGCGTCCTCAGTTTCGCCGGCCACAGGGACAAAGAAAACAACATAGTTGGAGACGCAAACAAGCGATTGATGCATTGGATGATTGACCTTGGTGCGAGAGGTGCGTGTAGGTGCGTGTTTGTCTCCTCCCCTCAATTCCAGAAAGAATATCTTATTTGAAATTTAAAGATCGGTGCGGCGCCGAAAATTGACTCGGTTCCTCATTCCCTTAACAACACCACCTCCTAGCCTCGTTCCGAGTCTCCATTGCAGGACAAATCATATGGGCAGAAAGAATTCCAGGCTTAGAGCAACCGTCCTCCACGACGCTGCCAAAGCCGTACAGGCTCAATTTCGCCGCTGGGACGTTCAATCAGTTGTCGGTGCTGATCTCGCCTGGTATCTCCTGCTAGATTATCCCGGAGCTATAAAGCAGGTACGCATGCACGAAAGACTACAATCTTCTTGTCTTATCTATTCTAACCTTCAGTGGAAACTGGACATCTATATACAAGGGTACCGGGGATCCATGTTGTCATTGGCCAGGAGTTTATCAGCGATCGACACCAGATTTGCGATTTTGAGTGGGACAGCAACAGTAACACATGCCCACAACTCGTGGACTTGCGATATCACTCTCATTAGCGCTAAGTGGCCACACCACATCATAGTGAAAGACATCGCATGTCTTCCGTTCAAGTATCTCCTCTTCCTGCGCATGAAGGTGTATCCAACAATAGCTTCTACCACCGAGCTCGAACACCGGATGTTTGAAGACGTTGATGCTTCGAAAGCTTACCTAGCCTCTACGAAGTCAATATCCCCAGGCCAGGTCCCATCGCAAGACCAAGTCGCGTTTGATATTCTTTTCGAGAGCTTATGTGCTACAGTCCCTGATGCGAAGGAAACCTTTCATGCTCTTCGTATTTTCCCATCGCGACTGGACGTCTCCGATCCGACTATGATTAACCTGACGACAGCCGACGATGTGTGGGACACAAGACCCAAGTCTTCTCCTCCTTCCCCGTCGCCTTTCCCACCGAAAGTTAGTACTTTACTGGCAGTCTCGACCCCAGCCAGTCCAGTGATCCCAACCCGAGGCTTTCGCGCTGTCGTATTCCGCGCCGCCAAAGAAGTCACTCGTATCTTCAGAGAGGCGGAGTGCACATTCGCAATCATGGGGAGTGCGGCTTGTTATCTCTACGGAAACAAACGTTTGCCAAATGTAAGGCCTGTCGCGCTCCGAGTTATCTTGTCGTGATACTGATGGAGCAATAGGACGTCGATATCCTGATATCATCGCATACCTGCGATGTAGAGTCGTTGAAAGAATTACTTGTTACCAAGAACCCTAGGTGTTTCTACCTCGTGAACGCCAAAACCCCTGGAGCTACGTGGAAGGTGCTATGGTACCACGATCGCAGCTCAAATGGGAAACTGGAGAAAACGAAGGTCGATATCCTCAAACCCGGAATTTTACAGCTGCCGATGATATTTTCCGAGGCTATCGTTGATAAGCAGGGATTACCAGTCGTTCCTCTGTCAATTCTACTGCTGCACAAACTGAAGGGGTGGAAGGATAACATGGAGTCGACGGAGCAGCGACTTCGGAGCAAGCATGACGCGGATGTGGGGGATATAGGCTCCTTGTTGAGGATCGTCCTGGAGGGAATGACTATGCAGGAAAGGAAAAACTCGACGTATTGGAAGCGGTTTGCGCTGGAACGGTTCGATGAGGAATTCCGCGATGAGACTGAGTATCGGGTGAGGTTGTTTTGTTGGAGATTTCCAGAGTATCGTGATATGTGGCGAAAACTAGGCTGGTAGACCCAAATACATATTTTCTGTTAACTCAGCGACCTAACTCGATTTAGTACGCGACCAACTGTCCCGGGCCCAAGGTCCGGAATCCATCTTTGTCTTTGTCCATCACCATGACAGACGGCGTCAAGCCATTGAAACCACAGTAAAGCTCAAGTGCGACCTCCTCAAGCTCCCTTTCTACACCACCACCTCCATATACTCAGGATGTCGAACGTGGAGTGAACGAGACTAGTTGTTTGTATCGCAGTCGGTTACTGTTCTTTCATCTTATGCAACATTCGTCTCATTATCTCGTTCGCATTCACAGGGAAACTTCACTGAATTCGTCACTCCACCGGAGGTCACGTCGTGAGTCACTATTTGCTTTCATGCTGGACGACACCGAAATCCTGTCAAGGCTCGCATTGGCGAATCCAGCTTCGGTACCATCCATTTTGAACATCGTAACAGACATGAACGTGAGCGTTCCCGGAACAGCGGAGGCAAAGGCAAAGAGCGTCGACACTGTTTAACAAGAATTATAGCGCGGGCATCCCAAATTTGAGAAAGTATCCTGCTTACGTTCGACAATAACCGACTCTCCAGGAGAAATGACTGCAAAAGCAGAGTCATCAACGTCTTCCAAAGAAACCGTAAGCTGCAGAAAACCGCTGAATCGGCCGCCTGCCAGTGGATAAATTAGACTGGGGAAAACCCTACCTTTATCCCAGTGAACGGAACAGTCTCTCCATCCTTGGTAACAGTGAACGAGCGGATTGGAAGGATATTATCCACAATCTTCCCGTACTTCAAGATCTTCACCGACTCTGAACCAGTATTGGCTACAGTCGCTATGAACTTGAGATCGTCGACAGTGGTGACATTCGTCACAGGTCCAGAAAGGGAGATGGTAAGTCCACCATCTCTCTTGTACTGACTGACAAAGCCAGAGGGGGTGACGCCGAGAGTAATCAAAGCAACGAGCATGGTATGAAGTCGAGACTGATGATTAAGGTAGCCATTCCTCCTGTTTAAATGTCGGTATCCTTATCTCGAGAGCACAAGGACACGCAAGACACTGAAGACATCGCGACAACGGAACACATGTGCGATGAGCATCGATCACCTCAGAGAGCAAAGTCTTGGAGGCTCTTGGCTAGAATTAATCGTAAGCAAACAGTCTGGAGTACTCGGTTTTATGTTCCGGTACTACTCTACGTTGAAAGCGAAGACGTTAACCACTACTGTATCGAGAGAATGCCGAAGACTCACAATCGTAAACAGGAACAGATGGACAACGCATGACTCTTTAGAGTACGCTTTCACGAAATTTTATTCCACTGCAGTTTAGCCACAGACAGCTAATCAGTGTCACAGACATCGTGAGAAGGATGATGGGACAAACTCACCTTTCCATCAAGACCCGTAAGCTTGCTTCTTAGATCGATTATTCTTGTGTTAACGGCCATAGACCGAATCATGATGTCGGTGCCTATAATGGACGAAAAAAGCCACGCTCCTGAGACGAATGGGTAGAAAGGGGATACAACGACCAAAAAGAACATCCTCCTTGCGAAGTACAATTGAGCGTCAATGAAGGACTCGACGGAGGGACAGCTAACCTCACGTCAGCTCCCAAGTCTCGACAAATGCATCTGTAAGCCGCGACTTGTGATTTTGATACAGCCTTCGGAATGTGACTCCCGATGACTGTGACTCAGCACAATAATGCGAATGTGAATTACAATCAAAATGAGGGTAGTTGAAACGTCGAACGTTAATATGAAATATTGAACGAGATGCGCAGTATGAGATTCAAATCCTGAGAAAGTGCTAAAGATCAACGGCCTTGTTACCATAGCCACGATGAAGCGCAAGGTCATCAGCCTTTTGACATTCCATTCCTTTTGCCGCATCATTCTGACGTTATCCAATAAACAGCTGTACCATTTGCAGAAAGGCCGAACGTTTTTCGGCGGCAACTTTGAAGAGTGCTCTTCGAACGATTACAGCATTCATGCCGCAGAAGTCTCACTGGAAGACGTATTAAGCATTCTTTGTCCAAAACAACACGGAAACCTATCGTAACGATTATGGGAGCAACATATACAGTTGGCCTAACTGTCGAGGAGCAGGCAGAATGAAGCGTACAAGAATTACACCATCCGTACTGAACGTAATAGGACACTGCATTCTTTTGGTCCCGGTAGGTCTGGTACCGAAGGTAAAGCATCCGGCGATAATCTCGTATCATTAGGATACGCAGCAAAGGAGTGGTTACTAAATTCTTACCAAGGATATCTTTCAGGTCAACAAACATCGTAATGGACAATAGACACCAATATGATATGCGATGATATTTTCGTGCAAACTAGCAGTAGGGCTGCGCACCGTACCGTATGATCAGCTTGAAAGCCTTGTCGGCGTCGGTACGGGTACCTTACGGCCGTCTACAGCCGTTGACGACCGTGCACTGGAGGACAAATGACTTTACTTATATAGAGTCACTGTAGATAATTTATGGTACGGTCTGATGGCTTTTGGATAGCTCGAGAGATGAAGAAGATAATATAAGCACGAAAGTAACAGATTTCAGAGGGGAAGATAAGTTAGATGTGCCCGAGATCACAAAGGAACTGTAAATCGCACCTGTATTGAACTAAGTAGACACACATATGTATCCCAAAGTTACACATGCTACTCTAAATGCAAACAAGACAGCTACATGGTGCCACTGCATGGTGCCATTTGCATGAAATTTTTGCTCCAACGAAGGCTCTAGATAAGAGGCAAGGTGAAGCCGTATTACGACGTTATACGGCCGTATGTAAAAGCTCTTGACGGCGACGGAACAACCGTACACATGGTCATTAGCGTGCGTTCGGCTTCGGTCCGTCTTCCGTATAACGGTTACCGAAAGCCGTACAATACGGTGACGGTGCGCAGCCCTAGAGTCTAGCAGAACTGAATAAACGGGCGAAATGTAGATCCGCGTAAAATGATCTATCTCACCAGGCTGGCGCTCGTCATTCAAATGTAGGGTCAGCATTTTCGCCGTTAGCAACCGTGATCTTGATAGGATTGAGGCCCTATATCACCAACATCAGCACAAAGAGAAACCCGTACGAGTTAAAGGAAATTAAATGAGAGATCTTGGAGGGAGACTGATCTCATAGAGCTTTAACCTCTCCAAAGTAGCAAGTATAGAAGACATCGCATCGTGTAAGAAAGCGATACGAATCAGTTGTTCCGTACCTCAAAACGAAGCCTTCCGTAGTGAGGAGGGACCTAAGAATACTTAGCCTCTCTAGCTTTGCCCGAAAATGATGAGAACAAGAGAATCTCAGGAAACGAAATAATCACGGACCCGGCAGCTTCGCGCATGCAGCCCAACGGGGCCGTCAATTTCAAGGGGAATTTGCCTTTCATCAGACGTTACTGTAAAGAAAGAAACTCACGTCGACAATCCCAATCAAGGCAAAGTTAGATGGCAACGGATTGGTTTCCATCCATCAAGGAATCCGTGCAGAGAAGGAAGGCCTTTCCACGAAATTCTTCATTTTGAGGAACACCGTCAGAGGGCGGCGTAAGAGTCATTCTGACTTCGAAGCAACTTGGTATTAGGGCCGGCGGCATCCGGTTTTTGAAGCAAGCAGAAGCGAGATACCCCGAGCGCGACGGCGACATTTTAGACCACATTCATGTATGGCGTTGGGAAGATAATTGGTTCAGGTTATAAAGATCAGGTAAGTCGTTGGAAAGTTGTAGGTGTTAAATGTGCAAGTAAGACAAGGTTCAGTAAAGAAGTCTTTCGAGAGAACTCCGCACTCACTTCATCAACCTTCCTCGAAATGTATCGCTAGGTCTCGGACTATCTCAAACCAGCCAGCGCTTCATGGGTTCCAAACATTTTCACGAGCTATTACGGCCCATTTCTGGATATACACAGATATCGGAATAACGTCGTCTCGAAAGAGCAGTGCTGCTCGTACCAATAATCTCGATATCGATTCTATACTCTCGGTATAGCAACCAGGACATTAATTACGACATCGTTTTCAGATATGAATGTGACGGTAGCGGCATGGGATTAATGAATGACGTGGTAAGTAAGAAAGAACAACAAAGCGTAATGAAAGAGAAACAACAACAGTCAAAACCGTACCACGACCGATGCGTTGCGTTCTTGGCTTCAATATTTCAGGACAGTTGCATCGCCGCTCATTAATTACGATTAAATTATTCGCGTATGACACAGAACTAAGCAATGGAGGAATTCTTTGATTGCTTTGATTTCCTTCCACTCATAACGCCGAAAGTTACAAGTCAGTAAAGGACATTGGAGAGGTAAGCACCGTGATTTGACTATAGCATGCTCACCTCCCTTGTAGAGTCATCGAGGCCTACTTTACTGAGATTAATGGACCGTAGATGTCTTGGCTGAGGGAACTCTACCACTAGATCTCAAAACATTCTACGGAAGCCAAAGCGGATAATTTTCATTTTCGAGACCTAGCTTAAGGAGGGGATCCTTCAGCTATCTCATGCGTTAGTGTTTCTGTGCTTCTCTATACTCACATTCACTATTATCAGAAGAATACGACGACTACATGACCATTCATTCTGTTCGTCCTTTTATTGAGCCTTTTCTCGTCAGTATTTAGACCTCCCATTGCACCTATATATAGCGTCCATCCGTCTAGAGTGGCGGCAGATGCTTGGCTCTGTAAATGGAATAGATCAATGCAAGCGCCGCGAAGTGAATAAATGAATCAGAGGATCACTCGCATTGACACTCTCAGACTCGAATGAAAGGAATTGCGGGGGTTCCTCCTGATTTCGTCTGTTAGAATCGAGGGGCCGTTCTCAAACGAAGTGAGTGGCAAGAATGGATTACGTCTGTGGCAAACACGACATGGAGACTAAGTATGAAATCTACAGCCTTATGTACTAGAAATCCCAGAGGAAATAAGCAAACACGTAAGTAAATCCATACGAGAACCCAAATGGCCACTATCTGCTAGTGCCATGAGAAGTTCGAAATCTCACACGTCGATGGTGAGGGCTTGTTGCTAACACTCTTATCTCAATGTCTCCTGTGATATGGATGAGTTTATGACAGGTTCGACTTGCTAGTGTATGCGCTCGTCGTCATAACGGCAATGGTACATTGAGACTTGGCCAAGAGCGTAAAAAAGGATTTGGGGCATGGAACTATTACAGATCTTTCTCTAGCATGGGTTCCACCCAATAGTGCAAGCTGCTTTCATTATTACACCCTGCAACTAACCACCACGAAACACGCTCGCAGATCTACGGTATTAAGTGTCCGGCAAGTTCTCACTAAGAAAGTGAATCACTTACGGTAAGGTCATGGTTCCTCCATCATCACGCTTGATGAGAACCATTTGAGTACCCTATAGACTGTCAATCGAAATACGTGCTATTGGAGAGCGCCGTACTCACGTCTGTCATGCGACTTGATGACTCAACAACACCTTTCAGGAGTTGTCCACTCGAGTTGTAATAGAAGACACGCTCGCCGACCTAAATGGTAAAGAAGAAAGACATGGCATTAAACCTCGATGGCCAAGGAGGATAGGAAAATAGCGCACAAGAAACACGTTCATAGACGAAATATTGGTGGGGTAATGTTAATTAACTTTTGTTATATGCAATATGACGGTTTAAGTACCTATGAGCGATTTTTCTTTCTTATTAGAGAAACGGCGTGTTCATGCAATATGTAATTTCGGGGGAAATATACTAGAGACCGTCTCGGTGCCAACCTCTGTTCTGAAGCTTTAAACCCATTTAATCTGATACACTGTACTGAATTGCGTATCCTGGCGACGTAAACATGAACAGATCGCATGCCCGATCATCTTTCGTTATTGCACCCAATAATTTCAACCGGTGCTCTCCAGGCTATGGCGGGGATCAGTGAACCTAGAAAGCGTGGCCATGTATAGGTAATAGAAACGATGCTGGGCAGTTTAGTTGTATACCCGCAAGTGAAAGGGCGAATTATAATGCAACCAAGCTTCACTGACTGATACACCCTCGAAAGAACGATAAAGGAACAATAAATTGGTGTTTCTTTTGCATCATATACGACTGCAGAGATGCCTGAGACATTTCAATCTCGGGAGTGCTCACATATGAGGATGATGGAAAAAGGTATCTGATATCGGAGATGAAGGTATGTTTCAGCTACACATGGTCGTTCTCTGTGTCGAGCTTTCTATGGTCGAGGTCTCAAGATATGCTAATGCCTGAATGTAGATATGCTTTCCTGCCTTATGGATTGACGCTCAGTTCTCAAAGCCTAAGCTCTGGCCAATATATGTGTGTCTCTAATCATCCATCTATATCCTGTATATACTTCATGGACCTTCTTGGCCTTCAACTGGGTGCTCCATTTTCTGCACCGACAGGAACAGGTCAGGATTTGAAAACTCAAATTTATAATCGCATCTGATCACGGTCACACGCTCTGATTTTCAAACTGTCATGTTTTATGGGGTTTAATCGTAATGTAAATACCAGATGCAGACTGAAAGTATGCAATTGATGTGCCTTCCCAGCACAACTACTGAACTACTGTTCAGAACTGCCCATCGATATCCACAGAGCTCTTCCCTCCCTATGTATCCATATATGTCCTTCCAAGTGAACGGGAAAAAGTATGCGTGGCTGCAAGAGTACGCTGGAACCATGGAGGAACTTGACGTCAAGGGATTGGGAACGCGTCGCGCGACGCGGGTAGTTAGGACACGCGTCAGACACGTGTGAAAACTGATTGGTCGTGTACTGTTCGGGACCGCAAACCAAATTCGGTACCACCATGTACTAGTACTCTTTCCTTCTTCTCTCTGGTTGTTCATTGACGATCATTGCTCTGCTCAATTCTATGCCTTCAGACCAGAAGCGCCTGGTAAAATTGGCGTATTCTTACCTTCACAATGTCAGTATGACTGTTGCGTACGATGCCGTTCATCCTCCGCAAAGAATCAAGCTGCTCTGATGGAGCACAGTACACGTGAAGGACTCGCTCGAAATGAGGACAAATTACGCGCATCTACAGGCCACTGTACTGCATCTCGGATTTACGTACCTAAGAATAATGATAATGCTTCGTATTCTCGTCACCAAATTTTGTTTCTTCAGCATATTTACTCTCTGAGTCTGGTCGAGCTATCTTGGGATCATATGATGGAAGACTATCCAACGATTAAGCTGTGTGCTACTGCGCTAGGTATTTAAGTACTATCTACTCACCCTGTTGGCTAAGCGTTAGCGGTAAAAATCAGCTTGCACGGTTATGGATGCTATTGTGCACTACGTATATGGTCTAATAACTTTGCGTGCAGCTGAATCGCTGGCGAAGATGCTGAAGATACGTCTTCCGGTGCATCGCAGCGTGAGGCTTTCGATGCGGACATCCATTTTTATCTGTACTGACTGGTTCCGCGCTAGACCGGTGTCTCCGAATGCCACCGGACAATTTCCAACACCTCCGTTTCATGAAGAAGGATGTGTATCATCAGATTTGCCGTAAGCAACTAGGGTAGATATCACTTTTCAGAGTAACTATACCTGGCACGTTTCTCAGCCTGCTAATATTAGGCATGATCGGTTTTTTTCTTCTTTTCGTTGGCTACTTTGAGCGTTACATTCAAGGAGGAACACTTGGGTCGATATCCTGCTGTATCATCCAAACTAACTCTGTACGAGTGGTGCAGTAGTCGGACATGGGGACAGACTTTTCCACGGGATGTTACCCGCACAATCTGATTGGACTAACATTGGCCGATACTTGTAGCTGCTTCGCAGCAACGCGAACACAGAGACGTAGAAATCCCAGCCAAGAAGACTAACTATACATCTTCTAAAGGTACCTGGAAACATGAAGGCCGAAACACTTAGGTGCGTGTATTAGATGGCTGTTTGAAACTGAACTCAGAAATTCTCATATCTTCATGTAGCTCGTACACTGTTACGACGACAAATGTTCATCCGTAAGCCAGCCCTTGCCCGAAATGTTCCTTCACAATGGGTGACGTCATGAGTAACTATTTGCTTTCATGCCGAACGATGTCTGAATTCTGGCGGGCTTAGTGCCTATCAATCAGCTTCTCAGTCTGTCCCGGAGCTCCTTTATCCTATAAGATCTAATGAATTTGAAGGGGAACCTTGCGGACCGTAGTCGGATTTTTTATCTGTGCGATCGTCCTCACTCTCTTCTTCCACGGCCTTTACGAAAAGAAGAAACATCGACTCATACGCGATAACCTCGTATGGACCAATCTTATTCTATCAAGCCAATGTCTCCCATCCAACACTTAGTAATACAAAGCGAAGCTGATCGGCGTACTAATTGACGGAGATATTAGGCAGTGTTACCAGATTACCATTCACGGAATAGAGTTCACGATGCCGGCATATTGTACTATTGACGTGGATAAATCGGTGGGGTCGTCGTGATCTCCCGGATGCTGATCCGGCTGTACGTCGCTACCATCAGGGTTCACGGCCATTGGGACAGTCAAGTCAGACGAAACAAAGTGCAAGACCTTGTGGGAGGATTTCAGGGATAAAGTGCGTCCGCTCCTTTTTTTGTTTTGCCACAAAATTTCGGACTTGGCTTATGGTGTCTGCAGGGATGTGTATCCAAAGGATACCACGTGCGTCCAATAGCATTCGTACGTGTAAATTATTCTGATGCTTTCAAGATTTATCGAGGCTCATATGGGAAACCACCAATTCCCATGGGATGATTGGCGGGAGATGTGTTCTACGACTCCGGTGGATTATGATGGGCGTCATTTCGATCATCCGGATAGCTGTGACTGGGTAAGCGATGCTGGTATTCCAGGTTATTGATGCTGAAGCATAACCTTCAGAGCATTTTCACTCTTGCATGGGGCGTCTCAACGATGAGAGTTGCTGATCCACTCTGCTTTGTATGCATCGTCCTTATCTGACTGCGTTGTAACCTACAACTATCCATTGTGACACCTTGCCTATGTATGATTATCGTCGTAGTGATTCCTTACGGAGAGTGTGTTTTAATCAAGAATCTCTGTAGTGAACCGGGCTGAAGAATTCCAATGCGAGATAATTGAACCGGCCATATATGCACTAGCGTTAAAACGAGAAAGACGACGGAAACATCGAGCGACAATAGGGTAGGAGCAATAGGAAAAGGAGTTATAGCTAAGTTGGCTAGTATACCCAATAAGTAGTTTTCTTCGATTGAACACGTATACACGCCAAGGCCTTTCCTACCAAATCTCTTCACGAAACCGCCGTCCGTCTTGACAAACTCGTCAAAGATGCACGGGGATCTCATCCCGTTCTTGAATGACAGAAGCGCGTATCTTACAAACAAACATTTACCTACACCCTCCTCTCAGATCAATCATTAATTGCGTGCCTAGTCTCCAAGCATATGCATAAGTACGTCAGCTGTTTTCTTCTTCCCCGGTTCCGGTGAAACCGAGCACGCTTCCGTCCACCGAACCCAGGGCCTTCGTACATGGCTAGGTTGGCGTGGATAACTATTGGGGCTTTGATGATCAATCATAGTGAGGCACGATAGGGAAGAGATGGCAGGACCCCAGAGTATACGGTAAGGACTCAGATCACGATTCGGACAGGATTTGGGCAAATTGACCCTCGAACCCATGCTTAAAATTCGGACAAAATCGAGGTCAATTGCGGACAGCCGGTTCGGATGGTTCGGACAAGGCCCTGTCCAGGTTAGGAAGCCACATCAGCATTCGAACACCAACTTAGCCTGTGCCTCTGTAGTCGAGTGGAATTAAGATACCTTATTCTTGTGTGGGCTGTTGGTTCGAATCATGGGTGAATTGTTCATTTTAATTTTGCAAGATAGCAACTTTCTTTGTAAAAAAAAAAGGTGGAGGCAAGAATGACAACCACGCTTGTATCGGCGACAGTGGGCGAGTGCATTAACATCGGTAGCCTCTCTTACCTGGCACTACAGGTCTTCCAGCAGTGGCAGTTACGGTGTTTCACGTACACTACCGACGCAACATCCTTATTACAAACCAAACAGTCCATTCATTTGCTTTCCATCAACCTTCTTACGGTCATCGATCCACCGGCAGTCACGACTCTCAGTTTGAAGCTCTCGGGGGGAGACTTTGAAGTCTTCACGCAGCTTAAAAAGATGTTGGCAAGCTGCACGGGGCGATTAAGGACTACGGTAAGCGAAAGCGAGAATGAGACGATGTATTAAAAGTCTAAAATGTTGTAGCTAAGCATATGCGAGTCGAGGAGACGATTTTTTTGGCTTTTTGCGCTTGTTCGGACAAAAATGTACGAAAAACACCCGGATAGCACCGTTCGGACAAGATTGCGAGCTGTAGGGCGAACGTAGGTCCGAATTCGGACAAGATTGAACCAAAAAATGAAAATTGCGTTCTGACAAAAAGGCCAAAATTTAGGGAAGTCGAGATCTGGGTTCATGAGGCATACTCCGGGGTCCTGAGACGGCTCACTCACTTTCTTGCCTTGGAGAACTCGAGTCCTAACATCGGACCCCACCCTAATCATGATGCATGAAATTTTGAAACGCCAAGACGGCGACCCTGACTGCTCTATACTTATAACCTGTGTGATAGGGTTGCGTAGGTCAATACAAAAAATTCGACGATAAGGTTAGATTCGGAAGATACGGTCCGAGATTCATTAGGTGACGCGTCGGTCACATGCCTCGTTTGATTGCTCTTGTTTGAAAATTTCGACGCTTTGTCTTTTTTCCTTCTTCCTCTAATGCAGACTTCCTCCAGTCCGCTCGAATGAGGGACTGGCCTCTACCGAAGGCATGCTGAGTATAAGTCTTTGACTTAGACTCATTTGGTGCGCGCGGCATTGTTCATCCTCGACGAACATGGCCTGATGTTCGCGTGCGGCGAAAACTCCTTCGACTCCGATGTCGGCTGGGAAGTGTTCATCTATGGCAGCCTGTTGTGACGCCCTTCAAAGGAGAACATGGTGAGCTCCCATAATCGCCATCCCAGAAAGCCTTACCGTTATCGAACCTTGCTTCAGCATATATGCCCGTTCGCCAACACTGTGTACTATGTCGCCCTGGAACAGGTGACGGTCAATTCTTGTCAGGAGGTCCCACGCGCAGGTTAAAGTACGTTGCTGCCCCACCTGAAGACACGGAACTGCTGATTGATGACCAGGTTTCTCCAAGTTCGGCCTACTTCGTCTTTCCCGTCCTATGTCGCGTCAATAGGAAGCTCGCATCTCCCACCTACAAGGAACGCCGGGGCATGGATGTACTATGAATTTTACCTAGGTGCGCTATACAAGCTCGTTTCAAAAACTACAGCCAGTTAACCCAATGTTCAGTTAGCTAGGGTGTGGGCTGACTCGCCTTTTGAAGCGCGTTGCATGTGCTTGAGAGTTTCTCGACATTCCGCTCTTACCCGGTATACACTCCATTCATATTGTTCCTCATTCGCTCTATACCGCTATACCGTGAGTCCTCTTCCTCCGCACATCATCCTCTGATGAACCGCACATTCCCCTTGCATTTTGACGGCCCCGTTGGGCTGGATGCGCGAAGCTCTGTTGCGTCCATAATTTCTCTCACTGAGATTATTACTCCCGCCTGTTTCTCGTGCCCCCAGTTTCGCTTACGATGTTATTCTTAGACCTCTCACCTCTATAGAGATCGCTCTGGACTTGTATCTTTGTTGGCTCGCAGCTCCGCAGTTTCCGGCGGTTACCTTTTTGAGGTAAGCGCACAACACTTCACTTTCCTGTTCTTCTCGCATGATGCAATATCTTGCATATTTGCTACTTCAGAGGGCTACGCACCCGATGAGACTATTTTCCCACCAAGATCTCTGATTCTCTTTTGTCTCAGTCGGAGTATAATATGTGCTGACGCTCGCTTTGCAGGGTCGTAATTCCATCAATACCAAGCGCCAGTCTAGCTTCCAGGATTCTCGTCGTCCACGAAGTGATGAATTTGCTATTACTTTCTAGATCCCTCCCCCCGACGTACGGAAGCCGTCCTCTATTCCGAGTTTGTTTCGTTTTGGACGCTGGAGCTGTCCTTGGCCGACTATTCGATTGTTGTTCTATTCGATACGATTGGTATCAATCCCTTCCTTGGAAAAGAAATCTCATCTTGTTACTTTGTGAAACAACGCCGTGGTCAAGACTTGTGATCACACTCGGTTATTGGCCGATTTTCCATACCTTGACCGAATCCAAGTCTTCAATTACTGCATTGGCATTCGGATATTTGGTCCGCATCTACTGGCCGCTACCTTTTCCCGAGAGCGAAAGACGGCGTTGATTTCTCTCCCGCTACTCCTGATGTGAATGAAGGGTACCCGTCAACTACGCGAGCCTGTTTTTCGGACTCGCTATTCCACAAGGTTGAATTTCCAGTGATGCACCACGGGCAATGAGTGGGAGTGCGCAGACTCGAATTCTTCGAGCATCTATCGGTTAGCTGAAGTGACGTTGGAATACGAGGTTAACGTAGGAGGAGAGCTCGCGCGGTTAAGCCTAGCGTTCGAAGGGGATGCGTAAGAAACAGGCTAGCTCCGCTCGTGGTTATACGGAATGAGAGCGATGTTCAGTTTCTTGCGGAATTCGAAAGGACTAAACCATTGTTCAGTGCATTGGCGGCGGACATTACCGCCATTCAAGTCAGAGCGAAATTGGTACTGAGAGGAGGAAAGGTGGTACGTACAGGCTCTCTGGCGAGAAGAATACTGTACTGATGGGTGGGTACAGGAATAACGCGATACTCTGTACTCTTAATCACGAAAATCAGTCCGATTTAACAAGCACCGAAATGCCAATCATTTCAGTAATCTGGTTCTTTCCTTGCGCAAGTTAAGGTGCTATTGAACAGCTTGGGAAGGGCATACCTACGGCTTCCCGTCTTCTATATCCAGTTGAAGTATCGATAGCGATCATCCCAAACATATTGCGCATGACGGTTCCTCACGGAGCCTCCGAGGCTCTGAAATCGTATTCAGGAGCGACATATAAACAGTACCCTGGATAGGTATCAAGGTGCCCACACCAGCTTGAAAACGGGGAATCATTAATCATCAACTGCGTCAATGGATGCTAGAACAATAGGTTATGCTGGTGTCGTTTCGTTTTAATCGTGCTACCATCGTACAAATTCCTACTGAATGGATCCTTGGAGTAAGCCCTACCTGGAGACGAAAGAAGACGTACATCATTTGAAATTGAAAGATCGGCATGGTGCCGCAATTGACTCCGAGTCCTCGTTCGCTTGGTACCACCACCTCCTGGCCTCGTTTTCCGGAGCAGCAACACTCATATGGGCAGAAGGAACGCCAGACTTAGGGCAAAGATCTTCCATGAGGCCACAAGAGTAGTGCAAGCTCACTTTGTCCGCTGGAGAGTACAATCAGTCGTTGGTGCTGATCTCGCGTGGTATATCTTGCTAGATTCGCCTAGTGCTATAAAGGAGGCACGTATACATTTTATTATAATGTATACGCGAGGCTAAATTATCTATCTTTCACTTTAGTGGCAACTAAACATTTACGTACAACGGTACGAGAGAATCGGATCCATATTCGCATTGGCACAGCGATTATCAGCTGCTGACTCCAGATTTTCTATCTCGATTGGGACAGGAATCAAGATAACATATACCCACACCCACTCTGATAATGTGCTTAACGACGACTCTGCGCTCAAAAATAGGACTTGCGATATCGCTCTCATCCCGGCGGAGTGGCAGCATGGCCGCCATGGCCATATGGTGAAAGATGTCACATGTCCTCCATTCAAGATTCTTCTCCTCGAGCGCATGATGGCGTATCCAACAATATCTTCAACTGCCGAGCGTAAACGCCGGATGTTTGAAGATGTTGACGCTTCCAAAGCCTACCTGGCTTCTACGAAGTCAATATTCCCAGGCAAGCTTCTGTGGGAGGAGCAAGCCGAATTTGATATTCTTTTCGAGGAGTTATGTGCTACGGTTCCTGATGCGAAGGAGACTTTTCGTGCCCTTCGTATTTTCTCCTCGCGACCACCAGAGCAGGACGTCTCCGGTCAGGTATTGATTAACCTGACACCAACCGACGATGGGCGGGACACAAAACCCCAATCTTCTCCTGCCTCATCGTCTTTCCCGCAGAAAGCTAGTACTTCACTTTCAGCCTCGACTTCAGCCAGTCCGGTGATCCCAACGCGCGGTTTTCGCGCTGTCGTATTCCGCGCTGCGAAAGAAGTTACTCGCATCTTCAGAGAGGCGGAGTTTACATTCGCAATCTTGGGGAGCACGGCTTGTTATCTCTACGGAAACAAACGTTTGCCAAATGTAAGATCTGTCGCATTCATCGATCGTGATACTGATGAAGCTGTAGGACGTCGACATTCTCATGTCCTCGCATACCTGCGATATAGAGTCGCTGAAGGAATCCCTTGTCACCAAGAATCCGGAGCGTTTCTACCTCGTGAATGCCAAGTCACCTAAGGCTACGTGGAAGGTCCTGTGGTACCACGATCATAGCGAAGATGGGGAACTGGAGAAGACCAAGGTCGATATCCTCAAACCGGGGATTTTGCAGCTCCCGATGATATTCTCTGAAGCTATAGTAGATAAGCAGGGATTTCCAGTCGTTCCCATGTCGATTCTACTGCTGCACAAACTGAAGGGGTGGAAGGATAACATGGAGGCGACGGCGCTACGTCTCCGGAGGAAGCATGATGCGAATGTGGGAGATATAGGTTCGTTGTTGAGGATAGTCGTGGACGGTATGAGCTCGCAGGAAAAGAAAAACTCGATGTATTGGAAGCGGTTTTCGCTGGAACGGTTTGATGAAGAATTCCGAGATGAGACGGAGTGTCGAGTGAAGTTGTTTTTTTCGAGATTTCCAGAGTATCATGATATGTGGCAAAAGCTAGGCTGGTAGAACCAGATATATATTTCCGCGCTCTCAGTACTTCCGTATTTATAACCTTGCTGAACTCTGGATGCAGATGCTTTCAACTGTGAGTGAGAACTTCAATGTGATCAGACCTTTAGGGATGTTCTACTGTTTCGTTCCCCACCCTTCAGGAATTCGACGCTTGCAAATTATTTGACCAAGAAAAAAACCAGGGACTCGGGAAGGGGCTTGGTGACACGTGTAAGGGAACGGAATTCATGCAGTGCTATAGTTTATCCATACAAGGGTACGTAAGTCGGTCGTGTCAATCATAGTCATTGTTGTATCTAACGCCGGTGGTAGAAGAGGTACACGTTCACTCCACCTACAGGGATGTGAGCTACGTCTGTGGAAGACTGGCCTCGGGTAGACCAACCAGAGCTAGAAGATGAAGAGGAGCTCGTGTTAGAAGAGGCTCGATTCCTGCGACGACGAGCTGGCTGAGATCTGGCGTGGTTAGGCCTAGCGTTCGAAGAAGATGGCTGTGGCAGGGCAGAATGAGGAACAGATGGGCTACGTGTTTGGTTGTGCGGAATGCGAGAAGTGTTCGTCGCCTCGGAGACAGCACGATTTCTCGCTGCGGCGGTGGGATTGTAAACGACTAAAGTGTTGCTGGATTTGTTACGAGGTCAATGAGTGGAGGACATAGCACGATTTCTGGCTGCAACTGTGGAGTTGTAAGGAACCAGAGCATTGCTAGTCCCGTTACGAGGGTGGATTGGTGGTGGATGAGCGGTGGGCCATGTTATCACCATTCGAGTTTGAGAGAGAACCATGCTGGGGGTAGGAAGTGTGTGCTGAATACATTAAATTTGAATGGTGGCTCTGCGAAGGCAGGTGTGTATAAACTCCCTGGTAAGGGATAGTACGCAGCTCTGGGGGTGTTATTGTAGCTGTGATATGGGTGAGTGGACATGGGTACGGCACCGTACCTATTCACGGCAGGGAGAAGAGACTGCTGGCCATGTCGACTGTGGTTCTGATCCATAATTGCGTCGCTGGACGAGGATAATTTGTGTCAGTGAGATGATCGCTGCATGGAAACGATATTCAGCTGACCTTGGAGAGGAACGGGATTGCTATGATTTGGAAGGAGGAAAGGACTAATATGTATACGTCTCTGACAGGCCACCGTTACAGGACTTGCCTAACAGCCTGAGAGGCGGGGTGCATGTACATTAAGAATGGGGCGCTTTATTAGCGCTGTGGATGGAGAGACTCTTCGTTGACTCTCACGGATACAACATGTCAGCGACGTGCTGTATTGGACCTTCTATTAACCAATTTGATTCAATTGTGCAAACAAGGCAGAAGTGTCAATAATCTCAGATCACAGTTGGAGCAAGGACATTATTTCCTGAAATCCATTCTTGAATTTGGTTAATGCCAGATCCAAGGGCAATGCTCACCTGTAAACAGAGTGATTATTCAGCCTTTGGTCAACCAAGCGGCAACAAGACATACTTGGGTAACCTTTCAGCAGAGGACAAAATCATATATTGATATAAACGGGTCTTTCAGATATGAACAAAACTATTAAATGAAATTTCGAACTTCAATTTGGCAAAATCGCACATCTATATGTGACTCTGTTTCTAAGGGCACCTGGTGGCCTTGTAAACCTCATTCGCAAAGCACTAGGGATAATGTCAGTATGAATTTCACATAGATTGCAGACAACATACTTTGTAACTATCAGCATTGACAGCTTGTTCAGCAGGAGGAAGTGCCCGGTCATTAGCACAGCTATAGGAGACATCCAGGGTGTGGGAAGTTGCATGAGTGAACTAAATAACAGAAACATTAAACTTGCCAATCAATGCACATCTAGAATAGCTCGTACCTCATGGAGAGTAACCCCATCAGCAGTAACTGTGTTGTCCATTGAACTGAGACAAACAGCTGGACTGGCATCCAAGTAGTAAAAGATATTGCAGAAGTAAATCTAGAACCAACAAACAATCAGTCAGATCCTATCAGTTACATGCCCATGGTGGAAATATGTATGTTCGTACTGGGTTGGGTAGTATAGGCAGCAACACCAGGCTGAAGACAAAGGAGGACCGGATCCATGCAGTCCATTCTATGGCAATTTCAGTGATTGCAAAAGAAGTTGGGTGGAAATGACATATGTCCTTGTGGTAGATGATTTGTTTGTGATTCTATTAAACACCTTGGTAACCATGGATGTCGGTGTAGTGCCAAAGTAAGAAGTGTAGAGAGTGTCAGTGCTGTTTGCTGCAATATAAGAGGTCACAGCAGAAGCTAATGCTTTCGCCGCTGTATAGCTGAAGCATGCATGAGAGGAGTGAAGGCCAGAAATGAGGAGCACATAGACCAACCCTTCATCGATCTAGAACACTTTGCTACTGTTGGTACAGACATCAACCGCATGGGTATTCAGGACAGGAAAAAGATCTCTCTTCACCAAGTCTCCAGAGACGAGATGTTCACATCAACAGAGTTAGATGACACTGAAACATGATCAAGGCTCACTCCATTGGTGACTCTAACTTCTGGACCGGTGATAGAGAAGGATGTCACAGGTGTGAACGTGAATGTTCCTGGGCCAGCCGAAGCAAAGTCAAACAGTGCCGATACTTTGTAATGAGAATATAGGATTAGCAAAAGTTGATAGATAGGAAACATACTACTTACCATCATGTTTGGCAGTAACTGATTGTCCAGGAGGAATGACCACAAAAGCAGAGTCATTAGTGTCCTTCAATGAAACAGAAATCTGCAGGAAATATGTGAATCAGGAGCATGGGAGACAGTATATGGTGGAAAGCGACCTTGATCCCAGTGAAGTTCACGGTTTCTCCATCCTTGGTGACAGTGAAAGATTGGGTTGGAAGCATGTCATCCAAAATCATTCTGTACTTCAAGATCTTCACCAATTCTGAGCCAGTATTGGCTACAGTTGCCATGAACTTGAGATTGTTGATACTGGTAACATTGGATGCTGGTCCAGACAAGGAGATGCTAAGAATTGTGTCTCTCTTGTAAGGACTGGCGAGCACAGAGAGGGCAAGGGAAAGGGTAATGAAAGAAGTGAGCATATTATGAAGTCGAGAGAGTACTTGACTGACAATTGAGGTTGCACTCCTCCGACTTAAATATCATTTGTAGGCCATCGTATGAAGTCATCATGACAATGGGGCACATGCATGACTGACCTCAGGTGGTGAAGCTTCAGAAAGGGGTCGTTCCTTGGCTAGAATAGAGTTATATACATAACCAGTCCAGCTGTCAATGAGAAACACCAGTTGAACACTGGGAGTCTGTGCCATAAATATCAGTCTTCAGTTCCAGATGTTAAAAATAATACCCATACTTTCTCCCTCTCTGCCAAGGCATGGCTGAGGTCGGTTGGAGAATGAAGAAATTGTTCAGTTGTATGCACTTCCAGTCAAGTGAGCTCTGAAGAATTTCTTCACTAGCAATTCCTCTCATGACAGATACTAGTGCCACACTTGTAGGAGTTTAGAGATCCTCAATACAACTTCAATGGGAGAATGCACTAATTTTAGTGCTATCCTGGGAGAGAGTGTCAGGTGAATGATCAGTCTCAGAAAGGTCAAGTCAAATCCAGAAAACATTTGTACATGGAGTTCATACAGTGACCAATAGAATATCAGTTGTTAACCTGGCACAATCATGAGTGAGTTATTTCATATACCAGGGCAGAAATGTTTGAGAAAACCCATGAGTCATTTGTAACTGAGGCTGATGCACATGCTGCTAACAATATCATAGTCCAGTCTCATGAGAACAAACTTCAAGGATAAAGAAAACAGTTAAAACGATACTGTACCTTGAGGATCTCTGTTCCGGAACCATTAACATTGGTCACCTTCACATCATGAGAACACCGAAAACTTACAAGTACAAAGAAATGTACAGAGGGTTGGTGCTCGACTGCCCAGTGTGTGCTGGCTGTCACCTTTGGGAATGACTGCTGCTAGTCAGCTTCCTGAAAAGAAATCTGGCATACATCTGGAGAGGAGGAAGCGGCGATTTTACCCTGGCTAGCCATTCATATTTCCGTACATCTTGAGGCCCATAGAGTGAGTACTTGCTGTAATGACTGCCTGTGCTGATGCCTTGAATGGATGAAAAAGTCTGCATTCCTCTTATCAATGGGATAACTGTGTATAAAAGGTTTTAATGATTGGAGACAAACAGTCTTCTTTCCAAGTGTAAACGGCTGCTAATGAACAACCACTAGCCTGCTAGTGGCAGCCTCAGAGTCGATGCATAATCACACAAGCATTGGAAGAATGAAAATATGTAGCATGAGTTGTAGACCAGTGTACCTAAGATACGCAGACACAATCAGTCATCTATAAGTAAGCATAAGTGTCCAGTATAATAGGTATAAGGGCAATGAGTATGAACCTCCTCAGTGCATCAAGTAGGGAGAAAGCAACTGAGGAGTAAGGTAGCTGGAAGCAGTGATATAAGTATCTAGAAGCTGTAGGTGAATATGTGTCAACAATATGAATGCATTACTGAAGTCCAAGGACCTATAAGGTCAACATGAGTCAATATCATGGAATCAGCAACTGAATGAGCATGTGATCCTGAGAACTTTCAATCTGTCCATCAGATAAAGCCCATATCCTTTCCATGGAACTCTTTGAAAGACCTTTGCATATTCTGTCCTACATGTTCTCTGAACTTCAACATGATACCTTATTCTGTGGAACACCTTTCTGACTCACCTCATCACCTTTATGACCTTTCATCATCACCTTGATCATCCATGTAAAAGATTCATATCCAATGATCGAACCTATTTATCAAGGACCCTCATAAACTCGTATTAAGTATTCCAGACTAATGCCGACCTGTTTGAGGCTGATGTGAACTCATCTCCGCATTTGATGCATTGATGTCCCATATTCCATACAAAGACACATCCTACAGTGTAATACAAACTGCTGTTTGTCCACTGGACCACTACCCTGAGAATCAATCATGGTAATGTGGACAGTACTACATATTTTGGGTCTTTGGTGAGTCTTTCCTGTACCCAATAATTAGTGATATTCTTCAACTGAATCAGTGTGCTGGCCCACCAAGACCTTTCCTACCAGTTCTCTCCGTGACACCACTGGCCTCAGCTCTGAAGACTTAGAGACAAACCCTTCAAATGTAGTCCTGACACACAAGGATCTCATCCCTTTCTTTAATGGCAATGCTTTCAGTGTCGATATCAATGTATGCCCCCTTCCTCCCTCATAGCTCATTATTTTCAATCTTGTCACATGTTCATGTCCAGGACAGCCACCATGTTTTCATCTTCCATGAGTTGGTATCAACACAAGGAAGAATACTCTGTGGATACCATTCTGACAAGATGGGGGATCCAGGTAACTCGGCATAGGAAGAGAAGAGGACAATGAATTGGTGCTGATGGCTGATCTGTGGTAGCAGATGAGATATGGAAGGATGTCGTGAGCTGGAGGGTTGCAGTAACAGGGGGCGGTTATGAGAGTGAAGAGGTACAATGAGGATGGTTAGACATTTTTGTGGTTTCTCGAATAAGAGTGGATTTTAATCCAATAAGAACTGGTGATTGGAGGAAAAAAATAAGCGAGCTAATATCATTCATAAGAGCATGTCCATCCTTGCAGACTTTCTTAAAGGCAGATAAAACGATTTTTTCATGATATTCGCAAGGCCTGTCTGGTTCTATTCCTTGAAAAGTGTAAATATTATTGGCAATGTGGAATCATGTCAAACACTGAACTCTCGCCAGGGATCTGTTTTGGCTGGATTTTCACACAGTGGTTGAGCCGGACAAGAGACGTTGTTGTGTTCATCATTATCGCATTGAAATTGGATTTCACATAGAGACTGAAGAACATGCTCACGAGTATGTGAACCCAGACATAGTCCTGTTCAGTGAAAAGACATCATGAGAGGAATGGATGATCTCACCCTGGTCATAGAGTTAATTTCTGTATCGATTTTCTGTGCATCGAATACTCACGTGAAAATGTCTAAGTTCGCATTCCCAAAAGTGGTGGGATAAACACCTTTATAATGACTGCAGATACAAACAATTATAACCTTTGTTCCCCTTCCCTTTCCAAAGGCAATCGAATGAGAACCCTATCGTGATCGCACATAGAGATATTTCATAGGGTACATTCAACATTATTGTGTAGATTGAATTGATCAAGGTAGACGCTGAAACACACTTGGTGAGGGAGCCTGACCCAAGATGAAAAAAGGACTGTGTGCGATTTATGGGGAAAAACTGAGACTGCAACATTTGTTTTATGGCCATCGTTTCCACTCACTTGTGCTTTGTCCTCAACAGTAATGGCACAAGCTTGACTGATGGATGACTCTGTTCTGCCCTCGAGAGCTCGTATGTACAACGTTCGGGGACTGGCACAAAGATAAATGGGAGGAAAGTCGACACCGGAGATTTGGACAAAGACTGTGCTGGAGAGCAAGAGTTGAGGACACAAACACATCAATGTCTTTCAGTTTCATCAATGGCATCAATAGGCAACAGGTGAGAGAATTAAGGCATGGAGGTTGATATATAAATTATGTATCCAGATCCAAGAATGTTCAACAAGGAGAGGAAAGTAGTCATCCAGAAAAGAGAGAGAAGGATGTTCTTATCTCTGAGAAGAGCAGGATCATTTTGTGATACCAAGGAGACATGGGGCGAGGAGAATTCTGCATTTGCATGCTGCATGCTTGCATTTGTTTGCATTCACTTGTGTTTCTGGTGCATTCATTTGCATTTCCATCAATGTGTGTATATAGTGTCATTTGCATGCAATTGCCTTCAAATGTGAGTGCTATTTAATGTTCTTGAGTCCTTCGAATATATCTCAATTCTCCGGAGTGCATAGTATGTCAGAAGAATGTTATATACACTTAATAGAGGTAATTTAGTTGTTTAAGGCACAACATACATCAAATAAGCTACATACAGGGTGTCCCGGATACACAATTAATTGACTGCAGGTCTAACGTAAATCCCATCCTATGAATGCAATGCATCAACTTCATGATGGTTGCGTCCAGATCATTAATGCATGCATTCACATGGTAATGCATGTGTATTGAACATTCTTGCAAGTGTTCAAATATTCATGCAAATGCAGAGGCAGCCCACACATGTCAAGACACAAAAATGCATGCGTTACAAGGTTTGAACACAAGTGTGACATACTTGTCACATTTGCGTTTCACTGGAGTTGAACTTGCGCAATATGCTTTTTGTCCTTGTACCGATTTATTTCACATAACTTTTACTATGAAATACCTTAAAATCATCTTAAATAGTTGTTGATTCTTGCAAGATTGTTAAGAGTTAGGTTGCCATTCCAATGTATGACCAGAGGCTTCCTTGGGAGCAAATCCAACCCCACAACCATGCCTCCACCAGAACAGCAGCATCACCCACCTCGTTTGGAGTGTCAACAAGCCATGCAAGCACACTGCGATGCTGGGAAAGGGCTTTGTTGACTTTGGAATTGAATTCCAAGGAAAGCAGATCAATGAGAAACTCTGCAGGATCCCCTTGCTAAACAACTTCATGAGCACAAAGATAATTTCTGAGCTAGGTATTTTCAATGATATAAGCTTTATCATTTTCAAGTGCAGTATAGGTGCACTTGCCAGAATTCCATGTCTTTGTGAACAGTTATGCCATAATGCATCAATAAGGTGCATTTCTGCAACATGTGAATAACCTGCTACAACCTAGGAGCCGGTACATTGCCTCTCCAATATCCCACCATCCACTCCTTCTCGCATGCAATATGGTTAATCAAACAATACAGATAGTAAAACCTTCCAAGCTTGGACAGGATCATTCTTCCAGGGCTTTCATATATCACAAATCAGAAATTTAACAATCAGGAAGATTAAACGAGACTTAAACTATGGGAATTGGATATTGGTGTTGCACCCCATGGTCAAAGTAGTGTGAAATAGATTTATTTTTGTGCTAATACATTGCATACCTGTGAAGAGAATCAGAGAGAATTGTAAGGCATGCATACAATGACTTACAAATGACAATATAACTGAGATACTGCTATCAAAGACAGATATGCTATGTCAAAGAAATATAAGTTGAGATTACTGGTAAAGGGGCTGTAATACTTGCATACCTATAATGCAAACATTGCATTTCTGTTCAGATTATTCCAACCAAGCCTGTACCTATCTTAGTTGACTTGTTACAGAGATTATCCAGAGGGCCAGAGAATCAAACTGGATATATAGTAAGCACTTCAAGGAAAGAATGCGTACAGACCATGGAAAGTTGCAGTAGTGGCATGAAACTGGGAGCAGAGTGGGGCACTAGAAATTCAGCATGGTCACCTGCATGGTACCATGCATGCGTGGCACATGGCCACATAGGCCACACAAGTCCTTAGTTGAACTTGAGTTGAACTTGCCTTGACTGTAAATATATACTGTGCAATGATAAGAATGCCCCACTAAACATATACTTGTATCTATTTCTTCTTCATTTGTAAATTGTCTGCAACAAACAAACCTTTGTTTGAAAATGTTTCAAAGCTCAATTTTGCCAATTGAAGTGTTTATACCTTCAAATCTTGGGTTTGTAGGTGCCATTGTATCTTCCATGTGTGTATCTATGGTTATGAGAAGGATAAATATCAAAACTTAGCTACTCTCTCATTTTGCTGGCATCAAGTCACTAGTCCAAAGATGTTACAACACTATGAACATCAATTCAACATTGAAATCACATCAATTATCCCTTGAATGCTCTAATACTGACCAAAGTAGTCATTTAATTCTCACCAGAATAGTCCTTCCTTATGTACCAATATACCTTGACCAAGCAAGTGACCATGCTGATGTACTATGCAACCATGCAGCCATGCAGCCATACCATGCAGGCTGACCATGCACAGCCACACTGACTAACCATGCAGCCACGCGGACCATGCAGGTACCATGCAGGCACCACACATAGTTCCTCTGTGAAAGTCGCATTGATATTTGTTTGTAAAATGGTATGGTATGCATTTAATTGTGTGATAATCTGACTTATTGCATGTCATTGCCATTACCAAATATAAAACCCCTTCTTGTTAAGTCTCAGCTTGGTGAAGATGCAACCTCACATTGTGTACATTGCTACTTCATGCTTATCCAACAGTCTTCAAGGCTTCTTTATACTCTTCAGATAGTCTCAAATTTATTTCCTTTACCAACCATGTTGTTTAAGCTAGGGTAATCCAGATGCAAAGCTGTGATATTAACAAGACTTCGAAGAATTTGGATAATATAAGTCTAAAGCAGCTATATTTCAACCATGGAAATGCTTCAAATCGAATAATATACCTAAAAATGGGTCAGATAAATTGTAATCAAGTTCCAATATAATTTAATCACCAAGTTATTAGATCTGCCAACGCTGTTTCTTAAGGATTGGCCGTGGTCTCGGTCTGGAGTAATCCTTAGGCTCCCTAGTAGCAGAGCTTTTTTGGGGCTGTTTCATCTGATTCTCATGAGTAATCCCATCCACATACAGATAATGTGGTCCCAGCTAAAGTTAGGGTATCAGCATCACCCTGTGATTGATAATGAAAGAATATCTTACCTCTACTTCAGAGTCTGTTCTGAATCTATAATCATCACCATGATCTGTTGCATAAGGATACCAATTATCCTGATGGCATCCTACATCAAGGCCCCATTGTTGATTACCCACAGCGCCTGCCTTGTCACTTTGGCTGAATAATTAGGACTCCAATATTTCATGTGCTTCAAGGTCAATGTCAACAGTAGTAAAATTAGTACCCATATGCTTATCTATGTATTCCCATGTCTTCTCTAAGAGAGTAGGCCAATATTTGCCATATCTGGATAGTAGTGTGTCTTTTAGGTGACTAGCCACCAGAAGAGTACAAGAATGAGCCACTGGAAGCAGACCAATCCAGTTGATGCAACGTTGTTTTGCTCCTGGAACCTTTTCATCAAACCAGGAATTCAAGGCTGCTTGGTCATCTTCAGAGATACCACCTGATATCAGAATGACAGGAAAAAATATCTTTCTTTTGCTGAAGCAGCCAACCCATTGCAGGGATGTTATGGATAGGTATGGCACCTGGGTTCTCAAGAAGTTGTCTGAGAATATCAACGTGAGGTGAAAGAGCTTCATCAACCTCAGATGTGAAAGGCAACAGATTTGGCATGATCATAAGCTTGTCTTTTTGCTCTTTGACCTCTGAGGCATGCTGGAACTTCCCTAACTGAATGTTGTTAAATAAATATATGCATAGACATAATATGACACTCACTCAGATGTTTTGGTGGCCTTTTTGGTCCTGCCACAGCTTGTCAACAATGTCATTCTCATGAACCTGGGTTACTTCTCCATGAATATGAGTCAAATCTTCTGCAAAGCGATTGAAACGCAACCACTTTACAGTCCAAAATTTGCCTTCAACATCTAGAAGATGAACAACATACCAGAAAAGCCCATCCCTTGCAAGGGCTGCTTTTCCAATACTATTGTTGGACTTTTGTGAGTACTTCTATATGAGCCTGTGAAAGAGCACTTACAGTAGACACATTTGAACAGATACTCCACAAGAATGAGCAGAATTCCTGCATTAGAGATGATAGTCAAGATATAGTAACCGAACTAGCATTGTACTCACAGTCGCTTTGATTCTCTCTTGCTATATTCTTGACATCCATGCAGGAGCTCTTGGATTGTGTCAATACCGCATCTGTGGCATTCAAATTTGACCTTGGGGGAGTTCAGGAATGGTGGATGTGCCATGCCATTGAGACCACGCTGACAAGCAACATGAGACCAGAATCCACAGATATCACAGCAGACACCTTTCTCAGGTGACATAAAATAATCTGAGTTCCCTGTTGTCCCACAGCAACATTGGAAAATCATATCTGGTTCATCTGATCCTGATCCTGATGACACTTGCTCAGAAGGGGAAGGACTGGGGGATATGATATGTTGAGCCTTTGATGACTGCATCTCTGCTACAGGACTTTCTGAATGATGTTCAGAAATAGCACGTCACTTTCTTGAGGGTTCTGATTGATCTAGCCTATCCAAAAGTGTACAATCTATCTTGTCAGGAATCTCAGATGATGAATACTCCCAAATCTTCTGGCAGTCTGTAGATTGCCACCAGATTTCTTCTATCTTGTAAATGCAACATCAGGAACAATGCTAACATCATGAGAGTCAAAGGACAGCCCATGTACTCTTTCAGCAATGCCCAATTGTGCCTGAAGGAAAGCCTTTTGTGCAGTACGACCTCCATGAAGTTGATAAATGACCATCTGAGTGTGATAAGACTTATCAGGCCTATCAATGACCTCTTCTCCTGTCATATGCATCACCAATGTAGCCTTTTGCTTGTGAGTAGCATAGCCTTTGCTCCTCATCCCATTATAGATGTAGATTGTGCAGCCTTTGTTATCTGGAGTGGGAGTTCTATAGCATGTCTGAAAATGGTTCCCATCAATGAGAAAGATGCAAGCCATAATGTCGTATACAAGCCCATAATTATGATCATCCTTTAGAGATGTAGGAGTGAAAGATGCTGGAAAGTCCCAGTGTTTGGGATCCCAGTCATCAACAGAAATTGTCAGGATGATAGGAAGTGATACATAGAATTCCAAGAGTTGAGGCTTTCCACAACAAGGGGATACTCCTTCTGCATTGTGCCAGCATGCATCCATCAGATGTCCTGCCTGATTAGCCTGCATCAATTCTTGAAACCAGGTTTCGATGCTGCCACCCAAGCATGTGGCTTCCTCTATGGACTCTGGTGGATAGAAGATAGTTGTCTTGTGAGGACGACAGACATGCACATGAGCAAATGTTCTTTGCAGTCTTTTTCAGACCAATATTGACTCCCTTGGCACATTTGAACTGTGATATACAACCCAAAGAATAGCGATTGGGCAGTAATATCACTGCCAATGAACTGATGAGACATAAGATCACTCAGCCATGACTGTATAAGCCATTAATATCATCAAAATCATTCAGAATAAATGAAAACATACTATCATTGGTTGTGCATCATGAATGTTACCATACAGAATGTTGTTCTTCCAGAGGATGGTGTGGAAACAGTTGCACTTTGTTAGCAGTGTTGATCAGTTCAGAGAAGCATCATTTGGTGAGGCCAGTGTTCGTAGAGTATCTAGAACTGAGTGTAGACTATTCAGGAGAGGTGTACTGGACTCATTGGAGCATCAAAATAAGGACGAGAACAGTGGCCACTGTGGAGTGAGTGCTGCAGAAAAGCCATTAATGAAGAGTCAAGCCAACAAGAATTGTTCGACCAGGGATATCCTGGCTGCGGAGGAAGCAATTTCTGAGGTGCCAGATGTTTAAGATTGTCCTCAAACTGAACATGTGATTTTTGCAAATTTGCATGATGAAGTTCTTTTCATGTATCTGGAGGGCAGCCATCATTTTTCTTGTGGTGGGAGACAATCAGCTGGAGTGCACGAGATGGCTTAGTCTGCCCAATTGTCTCAGCATATACTTTCCATGGTTCTGACTATCCATAGCAGATTGGAGAACCAACTGAAATTTACGAATCTGAGTAGGAAAAAGAGAGATGTAGTTTCAAAACTCACCCAGAGCAGCCTCATTCAATCGTTCATAGTAGTTAGCTATAGACAAAAGACCCTCAAAGCCTTTGATCACATCATGATCACAGCCAGCCCCCGAATAGAGTTTCCAATGCATTGTCTCCTCTGCATTCATACTTCCTGGAATGGAATCCCAAACTTCCACATCCATAATCTGCTGCAACTTGAAGATCATAGAGGCATGTGACTCTCTTGTCCACCATGCAAGCCATGTTGATGTGTGCAACCATTTCTTAACAATGCAATGGGCAATCGCCTCAAATTCCTCTTGATTAGGAACAGAGCAGAGTTTCATCACCAGTTTCTTGAATTTCTTCTCATCCTCGACAGGAATGATGGAGCTGATGTGTTTAATACAGGTAACTGCATTGCGAAAATGCTGTTCACATCCCTTCAGAAGCTTCGCACCATCTGTGAGGAGCTGGTCTTGAGTGCGGGAGTCACCATGTTTGATGCGGAACTTGGCAAATGCAAGAAGGTACCCAGAACGCTCTGCTTCACTGAAATCAATGACCTTCAATTTTGTTTGGTGAGAAAAAGGTTAATATAAAATGAGGTACAGTGCATACCTGTGCTAAAATCTCATCAGTGAGTACCATGTTTGTTTTTTCAGCCTGCTTGGCCATTGATTTGAATAATGCATAGAAGTGATGCATGTAATGCTCCTTGGAAGCACCGTTTTAATATGAGAATAGTGTGGGAACCCAGCACATCAATATTGTTGAGTAAGTCGAGGTTGCAATGAGAAGAGACGTTCGTTTTCTCCACCAGCCATGGGCAGCATCAGAAACCATGCCATTGATGGGTTTGTCTATGATCGTATCCTTGAGGACTGTGCTAGACATGTAGGCTGACTGTAGAGAAATAACAATGACCTCTCAGAATACTTGTCAAATGATAAAATCAGGATGTGCCTGACTGAAACCAGAATAGATGTCAAGAAAATGTTGGTTGGTAGAAGTTTCTTTTTTCCCAGATGACTTCCTAATTTTATTGTGTTCATACTGCACTCTTCTGGCATTTGTCAAGGATGTAGCTATATCAGCAACAGACTTGCCATGCAGACCCTGGAGTGTAGGGTGACCAACAATTAAAGCGAGAGCCTTGAGATGAGGCTGTGATGATGTGAGTTCCCTGAATTCCAGTTCCGCTTTTGGTGTCAGATGGATTTCATGTGTCAGATGTGGATGGCGATGATATCCGCCATTTGAATAGTGCACTCCATCCCTCCAGTGATGCAAGACTGAGTGAACACCCTTGCCACCAGGACCACCAGGACACAGCTTCCAAACTATATTGCCACCACAGTGACAGGAAATTGCAAGCTGCTTCTCACGTGAAGGCTTGTCTATTTTGGGATGAGTAATTATGCAGCAAGTCTTCATGTTGCACTCCATATAGCCTAGACAAAGGCGAGTTGATCTCTTTCCACCTTTCCAGGTTTCCACATTTGCAGAGTGGATTTTATCCCCCCTGTTAACCTTCATAGACCAGAGAACCATAAGTTTCTTCGTAGCCTCAAATGTGGTATGATCAATATCAAGGTCAAAATCACCATCAGGCCATCCATCCCACATCTCATGTAGGTTTTCACTCTTCATCAGATCAAGCGCTGTATTTTTAACTGTGGGTGGTAGCTTAGAATTACCGGTAGCTGTGGGTGCATTGCTAGCATGGAACTGAAGATATGTCTGTTCTCCTTCATCCTTTGTTTTTACAGAACCATCTTGTCCTGGCTGAGGAGGAACAGCCTTCATTTCTAAGAGGGCCAAGGGAGCTTTGACTTCTTGCTTGAACCCTTCGCTTTCCTTGGGATTTTGCAATGGGTTTTCCACTCGTTTCACAGGTTTGGGTATGTAACATTGCACGTTGCCTAGAAAGCATGTCCATTACTGTCCAGCAATGAGTAAGAAAGTGTCTTACCATTCACATCCAAAACTGGAACATGTGTAAGAAGATAATCCATGGGGAGAAGCCCTCCAGCATTCATTACATCTTCATTTTGATGCCCATGCAGGTTTTCATCAAGCCTGCGATGTAGATATCACTTGAATTTATCCTGGGAGGTGAACATTTTCATTAGCTCCTTGTTGATCAGAAAAGATAACATATGAGAAGCATAAACATGGTCTATAAAGCTTCGTGGTCTCTGGGATAATTGGGAACTTGCGGGGCATCGAGAATGAAAAGAAGAGGGGTGAAATACATAACACATTTGCATAACAGCTGTTAGACAGTATTTCCAATGAATGGAATGCTTGAAATGAATCGGTTTCCATATTTCCATAGTGAAGAGTAATAGTAGGGAGATGGATATCATAGTTGAGGTTAAAACTGCGAGTTAAAGGCCACCTATTCCCACAATGGGTTGCATGAGATGAAGAAGAGATTTAAGCGACCAGCATAGATAATAAGAGATCCGAGGTCTGAAACTGCACACAGATAGAAAAAAGATAGCCCTTCACAAATTCACAATAGTTATTCACAGCCTACAATAATACTAACAGAAGATGATCTAGCGAACATGATGGCAAGGGAGAACTGAGTGCATTGAGTCATGTTTGAGGGGATTTTGACTACCCCTGTGATTTGTCAACCATGCTGATCAGGGCATATCAGACCACACTGATGACATCAACCATGCAGCCATGCTCCACGCAGCCATGAAGCCATGCAGCCATGCAGGTGACCACACAGAATTCTTCTTGCCCAGCAGAGTGCAATGATCATGAGTCCTGCTCAGATCGGCAGCAAGATGATACTTTGCCTAGCTCTACCAAGGATTACTATGAGCCTAGAGAGCATCTTTAAGCACTGATAAACAAAGAAAATCGTGGTCACACCTGAGATATGGTTGAGATATACTGATAGCAAGTACTCTGCATTTGTGAGTCAAACTGAGGGCCTTGAAGGCATAGGTAGAGATGGATTCATTGACTATGACAGAGTTTAAATGTGCAGGACATGAAGCAGTAATCAGAAATGAAAGGAAGGGAGAGTAGCACAATGTGGGACATGGCAGTAGAGTGTGGGTTCTGATTTAGATGGCCGATCAATCTGTGATCGTGGCTGTACCTTTCTGACTGACACTGAGAATGATAACTTATTGGAACAGGGTCTAAGGCATCCCAGATAATGGACTGGTTCGTGTCATGCCATGATGCATCTGCAGGTGAAATGCAAGGATGTCACACATGCAAACACAAACACATTTCAACTAATGCAACTGCCTTTTTAGGAAATGCATGCATTTGAATGCAAACACAGGAGCGATAATGCAAGGAAACACATCCATGCATGTGGATAACACAGAATTCACCATGCCCAGAGATACTGTACACACTCCAGTTTAGGGGACATCACAGGCTGGGTCCATGGTAAGGCATACAGGAATATGGTCTGATCTTTGTCCCAATGGAAAATTTCAGCACCAGATATGTCAATGAGAGCATGGTAATGAAGATTGACAAACCAAAATAGCACAAGTTGATGTGCTTGGTAACGGGCAGCATGCAAATGAAACAAGCGTCTAGATCGTCAATCTAGATACTAAATCACATACACACACACTATCACCAATGTATATAAGTTCAAGGGTGAGTACAATAGAAGCACTCGTGATGTACTTAGATTTAGATAATCTAGTGGTGTTTTGTCTGAAAACAACTTCAATTCTTCTTTCAATATGTTTTACACAAAGTACACTAGTCCGCAATAGCAGGGTTTATGAACTTGTTTTGCAAGGTATAGTTGAGCAAGTTATACTCATTTTGACGTTGTCTAGAAGAGCTTCTAGCGGACACTTCAAATAATCAAACAACCAAAGACTCCAAGGTCTACAAAGAGTGCAAAATCACTCTACAAAGAACGCACAGGTTCTGACTTCAAGTACAAGACTTGCAAAGAGTACACAGACTCTGGAGTTCCTTGAACTTGACGATTGTTCGAACTTAAAGCGTTCTAGGGCTTATTTTACTTCAACTAGATGAGGTCTTTTGACTTAAAGTCGACTCAGCATGTCTAGATTGCTAATCTCGGAGAGAGAGAGAGCATGAGGCCTTTGTCTGTGGAGCAGTTCAATTAACTAGCAAGGTGCAAATGTGGGGACAGCTCTACTGTTAGCAGAACAAGCCGACGTGCTAACCTTCTACCAGGTCAACGGACCTTACCCACACATGCAAAGTCGCATCGATACTCGAAGTTTCTACTTGATTCACTTAGCTATAATTTTAGGACACATATAGAATATACTAGAATAATTGTACAGGTATAAAAGCCTTGTAGTCGTACCGCTTTATTGATAGATTATCCTTCCACTTACTCTATTGCTGCTAATATCTACTTCCTACTTAACTCTTCTAGATTACTGTAGTCACCCTTATGGGTTGACTTTGGTAACTTAATTCACTTCAGTCGAGGATATGCAATAAAACCAGTGATTGATTAGGTAGCTATACAGGCTACTAGCACAAACGTGGGGGAATGCTTTCCTGCCATTATGCGTCTAGTCGCTGCTAATTTATACGATTTGTGTTCTAGGTATAGGAGCCCGTATCTACAGTAATTATGGTACGAGCTTTGGAATTAATACAAACAGTGAGTCACTATCCTACAAGTATCATGCCATTCCATAGTTTCTATTCAGTTCGATGTGACTGCGCTGGGTTATTCTGTCACCGAGGAGTGCCCTACTGGTCCGTGGGTGCTCCTTCTTCCATCTGCAAGGCTTGCTGCATGCCGTATGTATTGAATACTGCAGTCTGCACAGGATCTCAAGGATGTAACCACCGATTGCAATCAGCTGCAGGTCCGAGATTATATTCTGTTGATCACTGCGCAATCAAGGTCGGTCATCTCGGTACCCAACATGGCTATTCATTCTTCCAAGGTTATTCCTTTCCTAGCCTGAGTTGATCTCGAAAGCTGATCTGTTTCTTGACTTAGCAATTTTTCTTGACAGGTTCTTTCTACTTGTCGAGACAACGAGGCATCTAGTTCATTCCATTCTTCAACTTCTTGGTTTTTATACTCCATACAGACGAGTCCCCGAGATTTGACTGTAATAGTCTTGTTTAGGTAGGGCTTAGCTTGGCGTGTTGACGGCTGGTAGAATTGACTCTTTGAGATGTCGTTTCTAAGTCCGTTCTATACTGCCGTGCTTTCATTCTTTATGTAGTATTTAGCTACCAGCACGAAGCCTCCACTGTTGCTCTCTGTACCACTTGTAGATTGCATAAACTGATGTAAAATCGCAAAATCTACAGGTAGCCTGATACCAGGCATATCAACGTTAGATTCTTGGGATGAACTCCCAATTCCAGCATTTCCTGTGAGCCTTTTTCTTTCTCTTCATCTCAATTCTCTGCCTTGTCATTTTTCTTGTTAGTCTGCCTGCCATCCTCTCTTCAATGGTTCTCCATTAGAACCCAGGGAATAATGTCCTCGCATGGAGGTGACTCGTTTTCAGAGGCGAATATTCCTCTGTCATTGAAACATCCTTGATGAACATGGTCTGATGTTCACGTTGTGGTGAAAAGTTCTTCGACTCTGATGTCAGCTGGGAAGCACTCATCTATGGCAGCCTGTTGTGATGTCCTTCAAAGGAGAACATGGTGAGTTCCCATGATTGCCATCTCAGAAAGCCTTGCCCTTATCAAACCTTGCTTCATATTATATGCCCAGTCCTCAACATAGTGCACTATGTCACCCTGGAACAGGTGATGGTCAATTCTTGTCAGGAGGACCCACACACAGGTTGACATACATTGCTACCCCACCTGAAGACATGCACCTGCTGATTGATGACCAGACTGCTCTGAGTTCAGCCCTACTTCATCTTTTCATCGTATGTCACATCAATAAGTGGCTCCTGTCTCCACCTATAAGGAATGCCAAGGCATGGATGTACTGTGAAATGCTACTCAGGTACACTATACACACTTTTTCCAAAAGCCACATCCAGTTAACTCTATGTTCCCTTAGCTTAGATGGGGAGCAACTCTTACATATTGCCCTGTGAAGCATGTTACTTGTACTCAAGAGTTTCACGACATACTGCTCTTATACATCCTGTTGTTCCTCTTTCGCTCTCTACCACCACACTGTGAGTCCCCTTCCTTACACATCATCCTCTGATGAAATGCACATTCCCCTTGCATTTTGATGGCCTCATAGAGTTGGATGCATGAAGCTCTATTGCATCCGTAATTTCTCTTACTGAAATTATTACTCCCACCTGTTTCCCAAGCCCCCAGTTTTGCTCATGATATTATTCTTAGACCTCTAACCTCTATAGAGAGCATACCAATATCAGAGACCGCTCTGGGCTCATATCTTTATTGGCTTGCAACTCCCTTCTTTTTTCAGTCAGTGTGCAACACTTCATTTTCTTGTTCTTCCTGCATGATGCAATATCTTTTATATTTGCTACTTCAGAGGGTGAATATACTCATCTGATGAGACCATTTTTCCACCAAGATCTCTGATTCTCTGTCCTTTTCATTCCATCTCAGTTGGGGTGTAACCACATGCCTACATTCATACGTCAGGGTCATGCTTTCATCAAGACTATGAATCACTATGATTGCTAAATGCTAGATGGTAGCCCCCCAAGGGCCAATCTGACCTGTAGAATACCTGTAGTCCATAGGGTAATGAGCATATGTTTTTGTTGTGTGTCTTACTGATACCAGATTTTTTGTACCAGACAACATTCCTAGTATTGAATGGGTACATTGGGGCTGTGCCCTTGTGGGTCTTTTATTTTGATTGCTTCTGTAATCAATATGATATATTGGAAATGAAAGAGAATCTTTATGCTTTCGTGGACCAATGCACTTGCCAGGACTTGAGATTACACTCAGCTATTGGCCAACTTTCTATGCCTTAACCAAATCCGAGTCTTCAATTGTTACATTGACATTCAGATACTTATGTGGTCCACATCCACTAGCCACTACCTTTTTTCGAGAGCAAAAGACGGTGCTGATTTCTCTCCCGCTACTCCTAATGTGAATGAGAGGTGCTTGTCAGCTACACAAGCCTATTTTTCAGGTGGGTTTTTTGGAAGGTTAAGCTTAATGTGTTTCATCTGTGCCATGGGCAATGAGCGGGATGCAGGGATTCAAATTCTTCAAGCATCTATTGGTCAGCTGAAGTGACATTGGAATACAAGGTTAATGTAGGAAGAGAGTTCTCACGGTTAAGCCTGGCATTTGAAGGGGATGTGCAATAAGCAGGCTAGCTCTGCTTGTGGTTATACAGAATGAGAGCGATGTTCAGTTTCTTGCAGGATTGGAAAGGACTAAACCATTGTTCAGTGCATTGGCGGCAGACATTACCACCATTCAAGTCAGAGGGAAATTGGTGCTGAGAGGAGGAAAGGAGGTACATAGAGGAACTCTGGTGAGAGGAATACAGTTATTGACAGGTCATTGCAACACCATCAGTCACTGAAACAGCTGATTTAGCCTCGTTCTCCCCAGTTCTGCTGCCTGAAAGTATTGTATAATTGGAGACATAGACATTATGGATTTTTAGTGATTTTTTGGGGATTTTAGTGCTACTGCTGACCCCATGAAAAATTGAACAGTGATGCAAATTTGGCAGGGGTTTGCCATGTGGTCATTTATCAGTCAATGAAACACTGTAAATTATGAATATCTCAATAATAGATCCTTTGATCCACTTCATACTTTGTATAGACATCACTGAGCAATATTAAAAGTTTTGTAGCTACTTTATTTGAGGAAAAAGACGATGTGTGGTGAATGGGACAAAAAACATTTTTCGGCGTTCCAATGACCAGTAAATAACTGTACTGTACTGATGGGTGGGTACAGGAATAGCATGATATTCTGTACTCTTAATCACAAAAATCAGTCTGATGCAACAAGCACCAAAATGCCAATAATTTCAGTAACCTGGTTCTTTCCTTGCACAAGTTGAGGTGCTATTGAACAGCTTGGGAAGGGCATACCTATGGCTTCCCATCTTCTATATCCAGTTGAAGTATTGATAGTGATCATCCCAAATGTATTGAGCCGGTTCTTCTGGAGCATGTATGGATTTGTCTTAGGGAATCGTGAATTGCAAGGCACGTACCTCGGATGAATGTATAGCTGGAAGGAGTAACAAGAAGTGTATGGAAGAAGTTCTCCTGCATTTGCTCAGAAGTTGGCATTCTGGTGGAGTAGGTACAGTCACCGTCTCTTTAGTTTAATGAAGTTCCTGGCATGGAGCCTCTTAGGCTCTGAAATCATACTTGAAAGGGGCGACACAAACAGTACCCTGGATAGGTATCAAGGGGCATGTAGAATTTTGCGAGCACACTTGTGAGTGTGTGTTGGCATTCTCTCACATGCCTTGTCACACTTGCATGGGATGGAGGTGTACAATATCGACGCTGGACACATTAATGGAAAGAGATCCTTATATATTAGAACTGCATTGGACTCCAGTGAGTGGATTCATAAAGAGATCTGGTAGGAAAGGTCTTAGTGGGGATTCAGTTGAAGATTACCATTACTCATTGGATACAGGAAAAAGCTGACCAAGTATGCAAAATGAAGGGGGAGTATCATTCACCTTACCTCAGTCTTGGTGTAGAGGTTCAACAAAAACAGCAGCTTGTATTGCACTGTAGGATGTGTGTTTGGATCCACTATGGGGCATCAGACTAGAAGAAGTCATCAGCATCATACAAGCAAACTTGGGTTTGAAATACTGTAGTCCAAGTTTATGCAGGTCCCCCATAAAATTTCCTGGTCCCTGGATATGGATATTTTTCATCAATCTAAATGTGCCATGGAATAGATCAGCAAATGTTTCTGGTTCCACTCTGTAACGAAAGAAAAAAAACAAGTTGGATGTCAATTTAGAAGTATTGGGGACAGACAAGTGAAATACCAGCTATAATCTCCTAAGGGGAGAATATATGTTGATCACATAGGTATCTCAGGTCCTAGCATAGGCAGGATACTGTACAGCAAGACCCCACATGTATGCACATCTGCAAGACAGAGGTAAAAATCTTCAAAATGTGAGTGCATTATATCTTGAATGGCAGTCATGATAAGTGTGAGGTTCTATTGATTCCTGTCAGTGGTGGTGCATCAGTCTTTTCAGAGTGGTGATGACATGTGATGGAAAGACGTCTTACTTGTGATGAGGTGAGTCGGAAAGGTGTTTGACCATATAATTATATCACGTTGAAGTTAAGAGGATAATATAGAGGATAGAATATGCAAGGGTCTTTGTTTCATGTAAAGGGTATGGACATTGGACTTTGATAAAGGTTACGGTCATATGGTCCAATGGATGGATGAAATGTTCACAGAATCACATGCAAGTCATTCAGTTGCTGATTTCATGGCATTGTTTTGTGCTACTTATGTTAGTTCTTCCAACCTTTGTGTGATTATGCATCGACTCATATGCTCCCTCTGACAGGTTGGCAGTTCTTCATTGATGAATTTTTGCACTTGGAAAGAATGCTGTTTGTCTCTGGTCATTAATAACTAGGTTATCCCATCGATAAGAGGAGCGCAGACTCTTTCATCCATTCAAGGCACAAGCACAGGCAGTCATTACAGCAAGTACTCTATGGGCCTCAAGATGTATGGAAATATGAATGGCTAGCCAGGGTGAAATCACCAGTTCCTCCTCTCCAGACGTATGCTAGATTTCTTTTTCAGGAAGCTGACTAGCAGGGGTCATTCGCTAAGCTGACAGCCAGCACACATGGGGCAGTTGAACACCAATCCTTCATCCATTTCTTTGTCCTTGTAAGTTTCCGGTGTTCTCATGATGCCAAAGTGGCTAATGTTAATAGTTCTGGAATAGAGATTCTTGAGGTATAGGATCATTTTAGCCTTTTTCCTTATCCCTGCAGTTTTTTCTCATGAGACTGCACTGTGATATGATTGAAAGCAAGAATTTCCGCATGAAATCTAAGTTGCTTTTGGTTTTTTTGAGCACTTCTGTCTGGGTATATGAACTGACTCATTCACAATCATACCAGATTGACAACTGCCAGGTCTGCATGTGATCATTCACCTGACACTCCTTCCAAGGATAAAATTAGTGCATTCTCCCATTGAAGTTGTATTGAGGATCTCTAAACTCCTACAAGTGTGGCACTAGTATCTGTCATGAGAGGAATTGCTAGTGAAGAAATTCTTCAGAGCTCACTTGACTGGAAGTGCATACAACTGAACAATTTCTTCATTCTCCAACCGACCTCAGCCATGCCTTGGCAGAGAGGGAGAAAGTATGGGTATTATTTTTAACATCTGGAACTGAAGACTGATATTTATGGCACAGACTCCCAGTGTTCAACTGGTGTTTCTCATTGACAGCTGGACTGGTTATGTATATAACTCTATTCTAGCCAAGGAACGACCCCTTTCTGAAGCTTCACCACCTGAGGTCAGTCATGCATGTGCCCCATTGTCATGATGACTTCATACGATGGCCTACAAATGATATTTAAGTCGGAGGAGTGCAACCTCAATTGTCAGTCAAGTACTCTCTCGACTTCATAATATGCTCACTTCTTTCATTACCCTTTCCCTTGCCCTCTCTGTGCTCGCCAGTCCTTACAAGAGAGACACAATTCTTAGCATCTCCTTGTCTGGACCAGCATCCAATGTTACCAGTATCAACAATCTCAAGTTCATGGCAACTGTAGCCAATACTGGCTCAGAATTGGTGAAGATCTTGAAGTACAGAATGATTTTGGATGACATGCTTCCAACCCAATCTTTCACTGTCACCAAGGATGGAGAAACCGTGAACTTCACTGGGATCAAGGTCGCTTTCCACCATATACTGTCTCCCATGCTCCTGATTCACATATTTCCTGCAGATTTCTGTTTCATTGAAGGACACTAATGACTCTGCTTTTGTGGTCATTCCTCCTGGACAATCAGTTACTGCCAAACATGATGGTAAGTAGTATGTTTCCTATCTATCAACTTTTGCTAATCCTATATTCTCATTACAAAGTATCGGCACTGTTTGACTTTGCTTCGGCTGGCCCAGGAACATTCACGTTCACACCTGTGACATCCTTCTCTATCACCGGTCCAGAAGTTAGAGTCACCAATGGAGTGAGCCTTGATCATGTTTCAGTGTCATCTAACTCTGTTGATGTGAACATCTCGTCTCTGGAGACTTGGTGAAGAGAGATCTTTTTCCTGTCCTGAATACCCATGCGGTTGATGTCTGTACCAACAGTAGCAAAGTGTTCTAGATCGATGAAGGGTTGGTCTATGTGCTCCTCATTTCTGGCCTTCACTCCTCTCATGCATGCTTCAGCTATACAGCGGCGAAAGCATTAGCTTCTGCTGTGACCTCTTATATTGCAGCAAACAGCACTGACACTCTCTACACTTCTTACTTTGGCACTACACCGACATCCATGGTTACCAAGGTGTTTAATAGAATCACAAACAAATCATCTACCACAAGGACATATGTCATTTCCACCCAACTTCTTTTGCAATCACTGAAATTGCCATAGAATGGACTGCATGGATCCGGTCCTCCTTTGTCTTCAGCCTGGTGTTGCTGCCTATACTACCCAACCCAGTACGAACATACATATTTCCACCATGGGCATGTAACTGATAGGATCTGACTGATTGTTTGTTGGTTCTAGATTTACTTCTGCAATATCTTTTACTACTTGGATGCCAGTCCAGCTGTTTGTCTCAGTTCAATGGACAACACAGTTACTGCTGATGGGGTTACTCTCCATGAGGTACGAGCTATTCTAGATGTGCATTGATTGGCAAGTTTAATGTTTCTGTTATTTAGTTCACTCATGCAACTTCCCACACCCTGGATGTCTCCTATAGCTGTGCTAATGACCGGGCACTTCCTCCTGCTGAACAAGCTGTCAATGCTGATAGTTACAAAGTATGTTGTCTGCAATCTATGTGAAATTCATACTGACATTATCCCTAGTGCTTTGCGAATGAGGTTTACAAGGCCACCAGGTGCCCTTAGAAACAGAGTCACATATAGATGTGCGATTTTGCCAAATTGAAGTTCGAAATTTCATTTAATAGTTTTGTTCATATCTGAAAGACCCGTTTATATCAATATATGATTTTGTCCTCTGCTGAAAGGTTACCCAAGTATGTCTTGTTGCCGCTTGGTTGACCAAAGGCTGAATAATCACTCTGTTTACAGGTGAGCATTGCCCTTGGATCTGGCATTAACCAAATTCAAGAATGGATTTCAGGAAATAATGTCCTTGCTCCAACTGTGATCTGAGATTATTGACACTTCTGCCTTGTTTGCACAATTGAATCAAATTGGTTAATAGAAGGTCCAATACAGCACGTCGCTGACATGTTGTATCCGTGAGAGTCAACGAAGAGTCTCTCCATCCACAGCGCTAATAAAGCGCCCCATTCTTAATGTACATGCACCCCGCCTCTCAGGCTGTTAGGCAAGTCCTGTAACGGTGGCCTGTCAGAGACGTATACATATTAGTCCTTTCCTCCTTCCAAATCATAGCAATCCCGTTCCTCTCCAAGGTCAGCTGAATATCGTTTCCATGCAGCGATCATCTCACTGACACATAGTGATGTACAGGGCCTGGCTTGGCCTGGCTTTTAGGGCTTGGGCTTGGCTTAAGGCAGGCCTGGCTTTCGAAATCGTAAGCCCAAGCCCTAAGCCCAAGCCCTAAGCCCAAGCCCTACTGGGCTCAGGCTTGGCTTGGGCTCAGGCCAGGGCTTGGGTAGTAGGAAGTGATAATCATGTTTTCAGTTCAAATAATAAAATTTTCATTGTCAAGTGCATTATTGACTATAGTCTTGTCTTTCAGGGGATAGTTTACATCATAAATCTGTTGCTTTACTTACTATATTGACTTCCTTTATTATCTCTTCTTTGAGAATAGCAGCTTTCCCAGAAGCCTCAGGGATTATCAAGCACTAGTCACGGAAATATTGATTGTCATTTTGCGACCACATATTTCTGAGGGACTATAGAGCTTTGACAAAATTACCATGTAGTCATTTATGAAGCCTAGTTATAGTGCTACAACATCCTCAAAAGCCCAGGCCTAAGCCTTGGGCTTGGGCTTTCTGAATCCAAAGCCTGAGCCCAAGCCCTCTTTAAGCCCAACACCAGGGCCCGGCTTTGGAGGGCTTGGCTTGGCCTGGCTTGGCCTGGCTTTCAGGGCTTGAGCCAGGCCCTGTACATCACTACTGACACAAATTATCCTCGTCCAGCAATGCAATTATGGGACACAAATATGGCTTCAATCCGGTGAAATTGGATATACATACAGGACACTGTATTTAATTACACTGAGTGTCTTGGTAGACCTGGCTTGCGAAGCACTACGGACAGGATCAGCATGAATCACATGCTAAATGTGCATGACATACGTTATAATTGTCGGCATTGGTAGGTTGTTCAACAGCAGGAAGAAGTTGATCATTATTACAGCCATATATGACATCAATAGTGCCAGAGGTTGCATGAGTGAACTAAAAAAAACAGAAACCATAAGCGCTCCTGACTTGCATACATCCAGGATATCTCTTACCTCATGAAGGGTAATTCTGGCACGAGTAATATTTTGATCCGCAGTTCCATCACAAAGACCAGTTAGGGGAGAGTAGCAGAAAAAGGAATCACAAAAGTAAATCTGACGCAACAAAATGATCCATCAGATCCGGTCATGATATTCACACAGTCAACATTACATTTGTTGATGGAAAGACAGTAAAGGCAATGGCACCAGTCACACAAAAGTTGAGTGGATCGCTGCAATCCATTCTGCAATAATGTGAGAAGGTGAAACGGAAGATTGGTGCAAACGACGTACGTCCTTGTTCTGGATGATTCGTTTGCTACATTATCGAATACCCCCTTAACCACGGATGTTGGCGAAGTGCTGAAGTATGCAGTGTAGACCGAACTAGTACTGTTGGTCGAAATAAAAGACGATGCAATGGAAGCCATGGATTTCGCATTAGTATAGCTGAAAATATGTCAGAGAAGTGCCATCTAGACATGAGGAGCAAATATACCAACCTTTGATTGATCACATTCTTTTTGGTATTGTCGGTACAGATGTCGACTGCACACCTATTCAGGCTGGGGAGATCGTGTTTCTTCATGTCTCCAGAGATGTTCACATTGATGGAGCGGGAGGTTACCGAAACCTCACCAGGATTCGCCATATGGAACGAGGTAACGGGCATGAAAGTGAACATTCCCGGACCAGCAGAAGCGAAGTCAAAGAGTGTCGACACTGTAGCAGACATCAGGATCAACAACAAGTACCGAGTGATGGGAAAGATACTGCTTACAATCATGTTCAGCAGTCAATGATTGTCTGGGAGGTATTACCACAAAGGCGGAATCATTGAGATCCTTCCATAAGAATATAGGCTGCAAAACAGGAGTGAATCTTGTGCCCAGGAGAAATTAACCGATGGAAATGTACCTTGACACCAGTGAACAAGACTATTTCTCCATCCTTGGTGACATTGAATGAGTGTGTCGGAAGGATATCATCCAAAATCATCCCGTACTTGAAGACCTTCAACGACTCTGAGCCAGTGTTGGCCACAGTCGCTGTAAACTTGAGATCATCGATACTGGTGATATCAGATGCTGGTCCAGACATGGAGACGCTAAGGCTAGTGTCTCTCTTGTAAGGACTAGCAAAGGCTGAGAGGGTGAGGCTGAGAGTAAGCAAAGTAGTGAGCATGTTATGAAGTCAGAGGTGTACTTGTCCGACATTGAGATAGTCATCCTCCTGCTTAAATATCATTCTGGGGAAGTTATATGAAGTCATCAGGGTAACAGAACATATACACAACCAACATCAGTAATGCCTTCAGCAAAGTGTGTTCCTTGGCTTGAATAAATTGAGATAGATAACCGGTCAAGTCGCGAATACAGAATGCCGGTGGAAAACTGGGACTCTTGTAAGCACCAGTCTCCAGTTCTCAACCCTAAAAGTAACACCCATACTTCTCCCGCCCCCTCCAGCATGAAGGAACAGATGAGGTGGCTTTGAAAACAAAAGTAGTTTTCGATCGTATAATCTGAGCATCCAGCCAAGTGAGCCCAAAAGACTTTCTCAACTAACAATTCTTCATGTGATGGATGCTCACACTGCACTTCCAGGAGCTTTGGAACTCTGAACGCGATTTGAATGAGGGAAGGCACTAATTTTAGCACCATCATGGGAAGAAGGTCTGGGGAATGGTCAGCGCTTCAAAAGAGGGTTTTGAACCTAAGGAACCTTCCAATGTGAAGCATATACAGTGTGCAATGTAACACTCAATTATTAACCTAGTTCAATCATGAGCACGTTAGTTCATGTATCTAGACAGATATGCTTGAAGAGACCCATTGTAAGGATAAGGAAAAGGTTATACAAAGCACAGAGATACCATACCTGGAAGAATTCAGGTCCGGAACTATTAACAGCAATCTTCGTATCATGAGAACACCAAAGCACAAAGCAAAGGATGAAAGACGGTGCTTGGCTCCTCCGAGTGTGCTAGCTGTCAGCTTTGTAAAGTCTTATCTGATGACTGCCGTTACTAGTCAGTTTCATGAAAAGAGCTCTATACGTCCAACAACCCATAGAGTTCCGTCTTGTAACGATTACTCGTGCTTATGCCTCGAAAGGGTGAAAAGGTCCACGCTCCCCGAGAGCGACAGGATAACCAGTGTATAACAAGATTAGAATGACTTTTCCAAGTGTAATTAGCCAGTGAGTGACTGAGAAAAATCGCAAGCATGCTAGAGCCGTCCCCCTAGTCAATGTGTAATGATTTGAAGAACCAAAATAGCATGAGTCAACCGCCATAGAATCGGCAGATGAGTGTGCATGTGATCCTCCTAACTGCTGCCGCTCAGTCCATAATCTTCCGGGATTGCCTGAGCGTCTAGAGACGGGCACACATAGATCAAGAATGAGGCAATTTGTTACGATTTATTCACTTTTTTCCGTTTTTCTTCGTTTTACTCAGCCTGATTACTCATATGCGATTGCAATGGACACATTCTCACAGTACTATTATTAGCGCACCCAATTGTATTTAAGTAGAGCCTCAGCTGGCTTAAACCCCAGCTTCGGCTAAGGGTTAATCTACCCAACATCGAACTCCTTGTTTCATGTCTATCTCGTTCGCAGTTAACTTGTCTCTTCGCCTTTGACCTGCTAGAGTATCGTCTACCGAAGTGCGAGTAGTGATCCTAGTTGGATCTAAGTCGATTCAAGTTGGTTGCTAACATTTAGCCGAAGCTCGACCTACGTTGCCTAGCGCCACGTCAGAGAACGAACGCTGCCCAACAACTTACTTGTGTATTTCCAAACTCTTCCTGTTCAACCAGCGAGGTCATTGCCCTGCGTTCGTAAGGACAATCTCGAGATTGTCAGCGCACGACGAGTGGACCGACGGTTCAGAACTCAACATTTACCCAACTATCATAATCACTGCAGTGACCATCTGGGTCCTGCCTCTCGTGTTATGGGACCTGTTAATCTTGGCATTAACGGAGGTCGTGACCGTCATCATCATCCTAAAAACCTACGTTTCGGCTCCAATTCTTGCCGCCGTCCTCATAGTTCTCTATTTGGGATACCTCCAAATTTGAAACCATCCATCCTGAAACCCACCATCCTCCTCCTACAAATTATCGTGGCATCCGCGGTGATCATGTTAATCACGACTAGTGAACTCTATCCGGTCCTAATGGTTGCATGGTTAATCATAACCCTCGGACTTTACGAAGGATAGATTCACGTATGGATGCCCTTATCCGATGCCATTCCCACAATCTCCACCGTTTTTATACTCTTTTTCTTGTCCATTTTCTTGTACCAAGTCCAACGGTGTTGTCGCCGACAAAGACGGGTACGAGCACAACTTCCCTTTCACTACGTTCCCTCCACGCCGGCGTATCCACTGCTGATAATTCACATTCCCGTGGCCTCTCAGCAAACCCTACACGATGGCCGACCCATCACACCCAGAGGACCTGGAGAGTCCCTCTACGCATCATCGCGATCCAACTCAGGATCCTCAGAGTCGAGCACTGACTCATACAGAAGCGCTACCGTCGAGTCAGTCGACATCACCGATACCCGGGGCATATTCTACGAGCGAGGGGACTCGCCCTTACCAGGCCTCCTCCACCAGCCTACGAACGACCGAGAGTCAGGAGGGCAAGGAGGGTCTTTGGAGCAGGGCAAAGAAAGCGATGTCGATACCGAGTTCGAAGGGGACGAGCTCACAGATCTTGAGAGGATCCGACTCCAAGACCTCCTCGACGGCCTCATTGTGGAGAACGAAGGGGATGAGGACGATTCCGGAGTCCGAAGGATCGACAGGGAAAGGGGGTACCACGGCGGAAGCAGTTACGACAACGATCCTGGAGAGCTTGGCCTTGGGGCCTCCGCCGCGACTACCTCCCGTACAAATGGAGCAGGGGCTCGTGGACCTAATTGGCTCACAAACCGGGGGGCACCAGTCGCCTGGTACCCTCGGACCAGCTGGGTCTACGCCGATGACGGGGAAGAGGCTCCTGTGGCCAGAATCCAAGCCACAGGGCCCATCGCTACCCCCATCATGGAGATTGCCCCGATCGCTACCACCATCGCCAGGACTGAATCAGAGGATCAGCAGCTCTGGGCGGAGTTCCCAGACTACGATCCCAAAGAACTTGGAACAATTGCCGGCGCCGGAGAACTCACCCGAGTCCCTGATTTTATCCCATCCGTCGCAGGCAGAGCCTTCGCCGACCCCGTCCTGCGCTACCAGCATCCATGGACGCTTCTCTACCACACGCTTGTCGAGTCACTCGAGCTCACTCGAGATGCCCGGCTCACCCCAGAAGTCCAGGCCAGAATGGATGCTGCAAGAGCAAACGATGCATGCATCTGAGCCGCAGAGGTCGCCGCCCTACTGGGACCCGACGGCCACTACGATCTTCCCCTCAAGCCAGATGCCACCCAGGCCGAAGTTGAGAATCGACGACGCACCGCTGCCCTTCGATACTCAGGAGCCACGCAACATGCCGGAACCGACCTGGAAGCCTGAAGAAGAGCCTGGAACGCCTACGAGGCAGAAATTAACGATCGAGACTCCGACATCGGAAGGTGGAGAGGGAACCGAGAGATCGACCGCCTTGCCTGAGAGAGGGAGGAGAGGGAGGATGCCGAGCAGACCCCCCAACCAGACGCTCGAGAAGCAGGTGATGGACACGGTGAGAACAGTTCTCACTAAAACGTCCACTGTCATGCCCTCCATATTCGGGATCCTTCCCTGGGAAGGACTATATGAAATTATGATGGAAGACATGGAGAAGGACCCGCAGTGGCTCCTCACCGAAGCGGGGGAGGACTATCTGGCTGCCAGGTACACCAGGGATGTATACCTCATGAAGAACATCCTGGAAGTAGAAACGTGGCACCGGGCGGCTACCATATGGAACACCGTACACCCCGAAGCACCACAAAGGGAGTGTGCGGCCTATCGACGGCCTGAGCCGATGCCTAATCCGCTGGAAACCATGGTCTTCATGGCAGGTGGCGGAGGCGAAGGAGAGGAGGACCCGGGCGACAGATGGGGTGACCCAGGTGCTGGAACGTCAGGAAAGGGGAAGGAGTCCACCGTGCCAACGCGACCAACCGCTCCTCCTCCTCCCCCGTCAAAGCCACCAGGAGGATACCCCTCTCCAGGGGGAAACCCGCATCTCCGGTCTCTACCTCGGCCCCCAAATCCGCCGATTCCACCAGTTCCGCCGTCACCCCTGGATCCTATCCCACCATGGCAGTTAGCGCCCGGGGCGGTGAATAATCCCTGGCACGAGGTGAAGCCCAAGCTGATCACTCAGCCGGAATACTTCACTGGGGAATCCTCGGACATTAATCGATTCCTCCATCATTGCGAAATGTACTTCCAGGTGTTCCCCATGTACTACACCATGAACAATCAGGGGCAGAACCCCTACCATATTACGTTCGCCCAGGGATACCTACGAGGGAAAGCGAAGGAGTGGTGGGGCGACCAGTATTATCGATACCGAGATCGACATGGACATTGGAGATTCCCGTCGTGGGAGGAATTCTCCCATGACCTCACCATCCAGTTCCGCGAGGTGGCCAAACTGGCCATCTGGAAGCAGGAGTGGAAGAAAGTCTGTCAATCGGACTTCAGATCCGCCATAGAATTCTTCGCGAAGTTCGAGAGGTTAGCGCACAAGTGCAAAGAATTCGGGGACGAGAAGCAGATGTTCAAAGCAGTGGAAGCGGCGATCCGACCCACGGTTTGGAATACGGTTATGCATGGGGACAATGAGCGCCCCACAACCTACGCAGAATGGAAAACGCGCATCTTAAGGATTGACGCCAACTATAGGTACAGGGTCGCCCAAGGATTGGGCAATAAGTCCTCCTCGAACCAAGGTGGTTCGGGTCGAGGCAATCAAAATTCATCATTCCAGAAGGGCGGAGGCCAAGGTTCGAGTGGCGATAAGAAGGACGCCACGGGAACAACCTATGGAGGTGCCGGGCAGCCGATGGAGATCGATAAGCTGAGAAGCGACAAACGGTGCTTCAAGTGCGGAAATACCGGATGGAGCTGGGACCATAAATGTCCAGAGGACAGATCGAAATGGCTCCCTGTCAAACTCCCCCCTTGCAAGAAGATCCCTGCTCAACGACTACGACAGCTACTCACCGAGGCAGAG